TCCACTTGCACCCAAATACCTGGATTAACTACAAAATCTTCAAATACACAATTTTTAATCCTCTAAGTCACCATCAACAACCAATTTAAAAGAGAAGGTTATTGAGAACAGATTCTCTCTTGCAACCAATTCATAGCCCCAAGCGTCACCCTACGTTCAAAAAGTGAACCACTTGCCAAATATAGGCTTGGGACGTGGTGAATTGCTGACAAAAGAACTTTGGTGGTGACACATTCATACCCGTCGTTTGCCTCTTTTCACGCAATGAGAGACGAGGTGCACAAAACTACTTTGAAGAAGAAATTGCGATAAAGGAAATAAGAAATATTCGCGTCTACGCACCACAAGAAGGCGTAAACACGTTCAAGAAATCCTTATGGGTAAAACAGATGACGATCAGACTTGCAACTCACAAGCATTACGATCCAGTTTCAGTGACTAACCAGTAACCACTAATCAACTTTTGATTCGATGAAACATTATGATGATTCAAGTTCAAACAACTTAACCCCCTCCCATAACATGTCATTGGGAATTATTTATAGAAACCTTGTCTATTAGAGCTTACTCCAATGAGAACAGCAAAGCCGATGCCTGTGCCGCTGGCAGCACTGAAAATACAATACTACTTGGACAAATGCAAAATTTGGATGGGTTACTATCAGGATGGGTAGATAAACCCCACCCCCCCAATGCACTAATAATACATTACACTAACTCTGGTTGGCAAACCGGATACCCTTCTCGATGGATGATTTGAGCTCAGGGATCAATTTTTGGAGTCCTTCCTGTTCAAAGTCTGAGAGATTACCCAACCCCAAAACTTCCTCGACTCCATTCTTTCCAAGCCTCACCTGAAAACCAATGCAGAGTATGGTTTATTGCTTATGACAAGAAAGGTAAAGGAAAATATAGCATCAGCAATTTCATGACCAACTAGACATACACGGGACACAAGATTAAAACTGGCCATTGTATGGATGAACCATTACGGTGATATGCAATGCAACTGACCAACATATACTATATCTATTGCGTGTCTACCCTCCATGAGCATGTGTTACAATTCGAGCTTTTTGAGTACATCGATATTTTTATACTAAAGGGAGGGGGAGTTTGGCTAAGCCACACAATGGGCAACCTAATTTGGTATCGAATTTTCCATCCACGAGATTTGAACCTAAGACCTCTCACTTCTAAGTGAGGAGGAATACCACCAGACTGTAGTACTGAGTGGCAATTTGAGCTTTTAACTCATGTAAAATGCAGACATGTATGCAACCACTATGGTTGAGACATACTATTAACTAATATATTTCAACCACCATATGGTGAAAACAGAACAGCCATCAATAGCCAAAACAGGAAGTGCACCGTCTAGCAAAGAGATTTATACACAACTGTTCCAGGCGGTAGCCACCAGGGATACACAATCAAGGAACAGACTAGTAGGCATGACTACAAACATAATCACATCTGGAGACATGACAAGTAGCACACTGCAATACTAAAGCTGAACAGCACTCATCCGTAAATCCAATTCCTGGTATACTAAGAAATAAAAATAGCTCGAGGAAAAATGAAAGTTATGAACTAAAAGCTTAAAAATCAATTCAAAGATGAGGAGATGAATCCCTAATTTGTTGATCTCACTAACCTTAGAAGCAAAGAAAGGAAGTTCAGTGATGCTTGATTGCACATACGAACATTCCACAACATCGGGTACCCCATTAAGTCCCTTCAGACAAGCATCAGCGAAAATAGCTCCAGCATAGCTGCAAGATAAACGGTAAGTTAGTCCAGAAAAAAACATAAATTTCTTTTTCTTTGTTTCCCCAACAAAAATAGAAAATTGAAACAAAGAAATCTACGGAGGAATACAAAAGGGAAACAACATTATGGAAGAAGCATGTAGCACCTTGGAATGGCTATGAAGTCATAATGTTTTAACACATAAAACATATTATTAGGAAACATTCACCACATACATTTCTACATCTTTGTACATTACATGAGATATAAATTTCAATATAAATTAGGCAAATATAATGATGAAACATAAACTCGAAGCATCTTTGCAAAACAAAGTGTTCACGCAATGGTTTTATCCTAACACTTACGCCATTGACAATGTTGCTGATCCCTTTCCAGCCTTCGCCTCCACAACTTCCGTTCCTCCATCTTGTGTTCTCTTTGTCAAAGCCACAATAACATCATGAGGCAAATTGGCTGCTGGGGTAGCCTAAAACATTAAAAAGAACAGTACAAAATTAGACATCTTTAAGCCAAGTCCAACCAAAGCAGATGCCACAGGAGAAACACCGAAATTAATCTCATACAATCCAAATGCAAGCCTTAAACCATTCAAGTGATATATACCTGAGAAAATAGTGGCAGAATGGTGACGCCAGCATGGCCACCAACAACTGGTACATTAACCTCTGCAAACACAAACCCATTTTCTTTATTTAGTACTGAACAAAACGCAATCTTACAAAAGAACTCGGCTTCGAAAACCCCTCAAAAAGAACAATAGAAATGCTTTAATTACATCTAGCTAAGTTGAGATTCGAGAACATCAATCTTTTGCAAAAACCCGAAACAGAAGCACAAAAAATGATAAACATAGCTAAAAGGACAGAGCTTTTAGAAGGCAAGTCAATAATGTATATACCAGCAACATTAACATTGGCCTTTCCAGCATAGAAAGTCTTAGCCCTGACCACATCAAGAGTAGTGACACCAAACAACCTCTTCTCGTCGTACTTCCCGGCCTTCTTCAACACCTCGGCCGCAATCGGGACTGTAGAGTTGACTGGGTTGCTAATCATGTTGATCAGCGCCTATAAAAAACAATCACCCAACATCCCAATTCGATCAAATACTCAAGATTTCCAAAAATTTCATAGAAATGAAGGGCACAAAAGGGATACTCACATTGGGGCAGTACTTAGCGATGGCGGTAGTGAGACCCTTGACGATACCGGCATTAATGTTGAATAGATCGTCCCGGGTCATGCCGGGCTTTCGGGGCACTCCGGCGGGGATAATTACGACGTCGGCTCCCTCCAAGGCTTGAGCAAGCTGCTCTTCTCCGGCGTAACCTTTGACCTAATCACCACCGTTCACCAAATCCCCGAATTAATAAAAAAAGTTGAAAAATTTAAGATCGAATCGGAAACACCCGATCGGCGAAGGGGAAGTATTAGAGAGGGTTCGGAGTACCTCAGATCTGGTGTTGATGTGGCTGACGTCAGCGGCGACACCGGGGGTTCCGGCGATATCGTAGAGGGAGAGGTGAGAGACGAGGGGGTTGAGCTTCATGAGGAGAGCCAGGGGCTGGCCGATGCCGCCGGCGGCGCCGAGGACCGCGACCTTCCGCTCGGGGACGGAGGCGGATGAGTAGCTGCGGCGGGCGACTCGGTGTACGGATCTGGCGATGGACATTGAAGGCCTCATGTTCTTGCTTTGGGAGTGTCGAAAGCTCTCTGCTTAGCTTTGTTTCGCGAGTTGCAAGTACTGATACAACAACAAGTAACCAACAGAGCGAGCGATCGTGCCTGCTATTGGTATATATCTATGATCTATGGTTGGCTCCTAGGGATTCGTGGTGTTGAATATTATTTCCAACGTGTAATTTTAAGAGGTCTTCAAATAATAAATAATTATTACATGGTCCTTTACCTTTTATGACAAATGATAAAATAACCAAATAAATTTAAACGTAAAGGACAATTCAATTCAAACACGGGAACTCAGTTGTGGTAACAAAATGTGTTACAACTTACAAACATCTTTGGTGGTTGGGTTACGGCATCCACTTTAGAGCGAGGTTTCTATCTTGATTATCGCACTTCCCGGGTTGAACTGCCCGGCTAGGCTCCAATAAAGGGCCTTCACCTTCTCTTGCATTTTTCAAGAAGATTACTTATTTTAGGCGATATCATTGGTTTAAACTATCAAAATCTATCACTTAGTAATATTGTATTCCTCTTCATTTTTAGGTTTAATTCTCATCAAAAACGAATTTAAATCATATTATTGCTAACTTATTGTGAAGTTAAGCCGATCCTCCTCCTTCTTTAGCGTAGATAATATCAACCGTTAAAAAAAAAACAAAACTATCAGAATCTTTGTTCCCCACAAGATAATCACAAATCATCAGTGGTTTCCTTGGTATGTAATAAATTAGATATGCAAAAGCCCATCTTACCAAGATTATGATTGGTGAAGGAAGCAAATGCATGCCTTTCAGTTACCCCTCCCAAAATTCTTTTTCACTTTCTTAAAAGTTGAAAGAAAAAAAAATTGTAAAAACTATTTTAAGCTTTCAATTTTCGGTTTTCAGAAAAATAAAAAATAAAAAATTTAAAGCCAACTTTTTTTTTCTTTTTTGCAATAATCGCTTAAGTTGCATGAGAGTGAACCTATATTCCTTTTATTTCCCCTTTGGAGATGAAAAAATAAAAGCACATGGGAACGTTATTCGTTTGTCACTGCTACATTGTCTTTTATTTTCTCTCATTGTACACTGTTAACTTTAAAAAAAAATATTTATTATTATCACTGTTTTATAAATTCTCGCTTAGAATTCGTTAGGTCCCATCTAGAGTTAGGCGGTTAGCCACTGTCCTATTTCTAAGTATTTAAAAATTAAGAAATGACTTCTTGATGACGCCTAAACACCTGCCTAAACATCCACCTAGTTCGTGACTCTTATTTAGAAAAAAAATAAATAAATAACTTTCATTTTTTCAATAAATTAAAAAAAAAACTTGTTGAATATTTAGATCAACAGTCATTATATGCGTGTTCCTCATGTTTTCAATCATGTTTTTTTTTTGTTAATATAAGTAGACATTTATTTATATGTTAGATAATAAATTTAATTAAAATTAAGAAAACCACCTAGGCCTTGTCTAGACACCTGAGCTCTAGGCTCCTGCCCGCTGCCTGACCAGCACATGGAGAAGAGAGTTTTGTACCGCAATGCATAGGTAGAAATCCAACACCCTATCCATTAGGATATTACACCACATGCACTTTGTCCATTGTTAAACGATTAGTAATCATGTGGATTTATTCACCAAATCACTATAAATTACAATTTTATAACATTTTAAGTGGTGAACAAAATTACAATCAAACTCAAAACTTTTCATGCTATTTTAACAATTGCAGAGAGCTAATGTCAAGACTTTGAAATCCCATATGTTGAATAATGAGTTCTCACAAAATGATTCCGATGTAGTCCTCGGCCGGCTGCAGCGATACATCGGTGGAGCCTTAAGAAATGAACAACCGGTTTAAGCCAGAGCATCAAAGACTAACCTTTCCGGAGTTGTTTCGTGAGATTTTCTGATCCGACAGAGACATACTGAGCACAACTCAGGTGGAATAGTGGATGATCATGTAACACTGGTTGGTTTGGCAAAGATTGAACCTCAATGAAGTGAATGATCAAGTTCCGATTTGTTGTTGGAGCACTGTGTTTTTCTTATCCAGTCTAGAATGTCTGAACAATCTTCGCGTCTGATAAAATGCCTTCGTGTCGTAAACAAAACTATTTAGTATTTTGTCCACTGTGTCAATGTTGTGAATATCGCATTACGAATGGGAAAAACAAAACAAACTCGGGAAACTAAAAACAAAATAACCAAGACAAATAACACAAAAAAATTAGGTGGTTCAACTACGCGGTCAGCAACAACAATCTTTGACTATATCAATAACGAGTACGACGAATAATCATGCCAAGCCTCTAGGATTAAGACTTGACGAAAAACCCAACAGTCAACAATTAACTTAACTGCAAGCCTTGAGTGTTTGTAAATCATACCAATTTTTAGGTCGATAAGCCTTTAGTTCGGCAACTTCTCGATGACTTGTTAATTCTTTCTTCATCCTCAGTGATTCAGGCACAACCAAATTTTCGGTGTTTTCATGGTATGCATCATAAATGAAGTCGAGCACTGTTTCCTGCATAAATTGTCCATTAAGCATTCACCGATTCATAGGCTTTGGGGGAAATGAAGAACTTACACAGCCAAAACTTTGAGTGACGAAAATAATATTGGGACAATGCCTGGGAGGGCGGAAAGCTAAATCTCTCTTTCTGACAAATAATGAAAACAAGATTGGAGAAATACCAAGGGTTTGGAAGCATCAAGCCAGTTATAGATATGCTCGTTGCGAAACCATGTTAACTGCCGTTTTGCAAAATTTCTGCACACGAAATTGAAAAAATTCTATGACTGAATGTAATGTGTGAGAATCTTACTCTACAAAGCCACAAGGAGTATTAAGCTCTCATTGTCGCACCAGGTTTTTGACACAAACAAGCACGGAAAGTTGGAAGCTCTTTTTGCTAATGAATAGACCATAAAACAATTTGATAATCATAAAACAAAATTATAATCCAATCTGCAACTTCCTATATCTACTGACTGAAATTTAGTTTTGTTGTATCCCCGCAAACACGATTTTTATAATGTACGTTGAAAACGTCTCCAAGTTTGGCATAGCATATGGTATTATGGCTTTTGACATATGAATTTGAGGTAAAAATGCATTACCGAGATGCTTTCTGAAATTCAGATAAAAAATTGTAGAACTCTCTTGGAAAACTAACTCCTTGCTGCCTACACATCAACAGATACTCCATAGCCTAAAATCAAACATTTCTTACCGTTACTACTATCACAGATAATAATAGAATGACCAAAAAAACAGTGTCACACAATTTTAATGAAACAAAATCAGACAACCATTGCTTCAATAATTAAAGAACAATAAACAATAGTGGTTGCATACTTGTCTGTAACCAATTCCTCTGGTTGCTGAATTTGAATTTGGAAGAAGACCCGAATCAAGAAGCCAATTAGCTTCCGACAAGATGCCATCACTTCCTGCAGGAATTTAAAAACAAAACAGATTAAAAGAAAGAGAGAGGAAAAAAAAGTACCTCGCCCCCATTGAAATTCTAATCCTAACGGATCAGGTTGTGTAAAACAAATGAATCGCCTGATCTGATTTTGAAACTTCAAAGGCGAATGATCAATTTGTAGTGATGTGTTATAATATATTTACCTGATAGCATATCTTCACATCGGTAGTCAATTGATTTATAAAGATCAACTCTTTTGCTTGAGAGGAAAAAACAAATAAAATCATAGTCCAATTCCTTTGATTTTACTTCCTCCGTAACATCAGTTGAAGGACTAGCGTCATTTGCATCACACTGTTTCCGGAAAGAATCATACGGCATTTGAAATGCAGATGGAGGTGATCCACTAGACTGCATTGCTGAACATGTATATGTTATGCATCCAACATCAGTAAAATGGAGAGACATAAGCTTCTAAATGCAAAACAACTCAACTAAATAGTGAATATTGAGGCAGATACATTAACCAGATATTGATGTGTCTGTGTCCAAGGAATGCATAATATTAGAACCAGAAAACATAACAAACCAACCATAATAATCTCAAGGCTGCGTCTTAATCGATACCAGTCATTAGCAGCCAAAAGTTGAGCCTTTGGGTCACCTGCCTTGACCACCAACTCCACAGCTGCATCCCAGTCGTCATTTTTCTGTAGGTCCTCTAAATCGGAATACACTTCAGATGCAATCTCTAGAAAGGCTTGTGTACAACAAAAAATCAATGCTATCAATACAACAACAAAGTAGAGAGAAAAATAATTAGGCTTATTACTCTTAATTACAGAGATTTTGTTTTTCTTATTCAGCAACGTCACCAATCAACATGCAGATGCCATTGCAAATTACATTATTTCACAAGGCAGGCCAGTTATGTTAATTTTTACTCAATATTCAAACTTTAAACAGACAAAAAACATCCTAACTTTAAAATGATGAGAAAAACAAAAAAGATATTGGCACATACCATCGCAAGTACAATCCAGTACCACCAGTAACTATAGGAACCCGGCCACTATCAAGAATACTTCTTATAGCTTGCCTAGCATCCTCAAAAAAAAACCGTCCAACAGAATAGTCTGAAGAATAAAACACGTGGAAGAATAAAACACGTGTTGAAGTGGCAGAACATAAATATCCAAAATCCCAAACCTAGCAACACACCTTCAGATGGGTGCAGTATGCCAACAAGATGATGTGGCACCTCCTGCACCAAAAGAAAGAAAAACACAAAACATTAAAGAGTATCACAATGATTCCACCAAATGAACCAAATTTGTTGGTCAAGTTCCAGTTACTAATAACAGACCAGTTGAGAATAGAATGCAAAGGGAGACGTTGTCCAACTGAAAGGCTCCTCAACAACAACAACAACAAAGCCTTTTCCCACCAAGTGGGGTCGGCTATATGAATCCTAGAACGCCATTGTGCTCGGTTGGATTCATTTTCATAAGGATTCGACGTAACCGAGGAGTGCCGGCTGTCGACTACCTGACGCCCTCCCCCTCCTCCTTTATCCGGGCTTGGGACCGGCAATGTAAGATAAACTGAAAGGCTCCTGCCTGAAAAAAAAAATGTGGAGAAGTTATCTATTATATATATACACACACACACGCACATATACATACACACACATATATATATATATATATATATGAAATTCGTCTTAAAGATCAAATCTATACAATAGAGTTATAACATATGATACTATTCCTGAACTGCACATTAACTGTGGATATTATAGGATTTGTTGGAGAAGATAATATGAACTGCTAGTCTTTGAAACTGTTAACATTCAAGTCAGATATGAGTCACATGATGGAACAGTAGCATCCACAAACATCGTGTTAGAAATGATAAAACGTAAAATTTGAGCACAACATTAACACCATAGTGACAATTATTCGGAATCAAAGAGAATTCAAAACCTAATTTAATGGGAAAACATAAAACTAAGACGGCATACGATGCATCTGAAATCAACATACTCTAGAAATCTAGATTACCATAGTTCAATTACAATGTAGAATCATGCCTGCACTAAATGTGCAAATTTCTCAATTACACAAGCACCTGTCTTTCAGCTGGCGAAGGCTTGGCAGATCCAATATCAAGACCCCGATATACCTGTGGCACAAAAGCCAAAACAAACAAATTCACTTCGACAATATGGCACTACCTATTAATTCTACAAGCGTCAACAAAAGGAAATTCAATCAAGGCAATGCCATAAGGCTTTCTTTGTTCTCATGGCAGAGAGAGCGATGTTATCCATACACCAATAGAACCGGCTTTTACTGAGGGAGATTGGAAATTCAATCACGGCAATGTCTATAAGCGGGGGCCTTAGCATTACCGATTGAAGGCAGGCTTGATTCACGAAATTGACCAGAACAAGTCAAAATTCTCAAGGAAACAAATTCAATACTTTCGGGTATAAAACAATGTCAACTGTCTACCTATTACCTTCCTACATTTTCTCATCAACCAAACATGGTTTATCACTAAATACCCAATAAACTAAATTACTTGCAAGTTAGAATCTTTAGAAAACCCAACTAACCAGTTTGCTGCTTAGTTCGAAAGAAGCTAAATTTTCCCATTTTCTTCCCCTTTTCCCCAGTATCCTAACAAAGAACAACAAAAACCAACAACTGGGTATTGTATTTTCGCTCAAACCTGGACGGAGTCGGCGCTTATAATCTCTCCATTGAGCCGCTTAGCGAGCTCCAGAGCGAGGCGAGTCTTCCCGGAGCCGGTGGGCCCAGATACCACTATCACCTTCTCCTTCTCTTTAGTCTTGGTGGCTGAAACAGAGCAGGCGGTGGTCAGACGCCGCCGGCGGAGAGTGAAAGTCAGCAGCCCAGCCGTCCTGAGGACCCGCGGGCAAAATGTACCGACACAACTGCTACTGGTTATCATATTTTTGGTTGGGGAGGAAGAGACAGGTTTGGATTGGATTGGATTGGATTATTTTTGTGTTCGGTCGGGTTTAGAGAGGGTTTTGGGTCTCAACTCTTATTGGACATTTCCATATGTTTTTCGTTTATTTTATTTCATTTTATTTTTAAATTTCTTTTTCTTCTCACACTTAAACTTGTTCATCAAGTATGAGATAGTATTTTTTTAATACGAGTGATATTTTACATTAATTTATACCGAATAGAAAGAGTTTGAATCCGTAACGCAGTAGGTTGAAGAGGAACATCTTACCACTAAGGCAATCCACCACTTGCAAGTATGAGATTGTTATTTATGTGTAAAGAGTTATTCTTCTCTATGCACAAATTAGAATTTGAAATTAATGTGTGCTTAAATTTCTCCTTTTTTTCCTTAAGAAAAAGGGACCAGCTGTTAGCTTCGCCACGACAGTCCACACTTCCGAAAACTAAAAAGACTCCGATAAACATTTCAGCATTCCCTTGCCACTTAAACTTCTCTATTTTGAAGTATTAATGAGATATTTTCGTTGTGAAACCATCATCATTTTAACTATAAATGGTGATGTGCTTAAACATGCCACCTCTCTTAATCCATCGAAAAGATTGTTACTCGAAAAAATAAATAAAATTAATTTAATAATAAGAAGATTTGTTTACGATCTAAAGGTCCACATCAGAACTCAAAACAATCACAGGATTCACAGCTTGATCCTACCAACTGGTGGTTGCATGTTGTGACTTCACCTAAAACACTTAGAACTCAAGCTACCATTTTCAATTACTTCACCAACAAAATGTCCTTTAACAATCAAACACTTCCGCACCCACCATCTTCATCCCCTTCCCCAAATGACAAAGCAGCAGCCCTCCCTCGACCGGCGAATCCAGTCCCTCTTCCCGTTTGCACTGGCCTCGCTGCTTGTCCTAGGGACCGCACGCCTAGTCCTCGACGCCTTGAAGAGCAATGACAGCTTTGTCTTTCAGATGTATGGCTGGCCAAGAGGCCAGAAACCGAGACCGGCAGTTGTTATTTCACCGGAGGACCGGATTGACGAGAGCTGCAATGTGTTTGAAGGGAAGTGGGTGTGGGATAATTTGTCACATCCTCACTATACAGAAGAGAGCTGCCCCTACTTGGTAAAGCAAGTTACTTGCCAGAGGAATGGGAGGCCTGATTCTTACTACAAGAATTGGAGGTGGCAACCAAATGACTGCAACCTCCCAAGGTCAAAACTCTAATTTTTCTAGTGTACAAGACCGTCGTATTGTCATGTGGTCTAACTAATTCATCCAGATCATTACACGTTTATCTGTTTATTAGTGCTATACCTTAATCCATCACATATCAACATTAATCGTCATCTAATCATATTATGATTAGTGAATTAGTAATACCACGTGACTGTGTAACAGTCACGCTAAAACATATGTGTCGAGGCATTCCATGTCTTTTTTGTTTACTTAGTGAGTGGCTTTGGCTTTGAAAATTCAGGTTTGATGCTTTGAAGCTAATGCAGATTTTGAGGGGCAAAAGGCTGATGTTTGTTGGAGACTCAGTACAAAGAGGCCAGTTTGAATCCCTGGTCTGCATGGTTCAATCTATAACACAAGGAAAAAGGTCCCTCCAAAGAGTCCCTCCTCGAAAGATCTTCAGAGTAGAGGTAAACCTCACGTTTTATAACACTAAACCCTACTCACGGCAAGAGTTCGACGTCCCCTCACCCTTTTTTTCTTTCGCAGGAGTTTGATGCATCGATTGAGTACTACTGGGCTCCGTTTCTCGTGGAGTCTATTTCGGACCACGCGACGAAACATACTGTGCTGAAACGGCTGGTGAACCTTGACTCCATAACCAACCACGGCAAGCACTGGGAAGGAGTAGATATCTTGGTGTTTGAGAGCTATGTGTGGTGGATGCACAGCCCTACAGTCAATGCTACGTGAGTGACATAAATTTGTAGGGCACCCCTATGTTATAAATCTCATTGCCCTTCAGATTTCAGTTAGTATCGCGTGTTTCTCTATCTGTCAAACGAAAAACTGTTTTTGAAAACATTACCACACGAAGGCCTTATGTTTTTTTTTTTTCTCCCTTATGCCAGATATGGATCTCCAGATGTACAAGAATATAAAGTCACTACAGCATACAAACTAGCCTTACAAACTTGGGCAGACTGGTTAGAATCCAGCATCGACCCTGAAAGGCAAAAGGTCTTCTTCATGAGCATGTCTCCAACACATTTATGGTAAGAGTTTCACACTTCTCACTCGAACATCTTCAAAAGCGTTAAGAGGAAAGTGAAAAAACATTTTTTCAATACGAAGCAATATTAGGAAAAGAGAGAGTCAAACACAGGATCTCGAGTTTATAGGTGGTCCCACAAAGCCCCTTGCTATATATAACAACACGTGTCATGAATCTGGCATACACGATTTAGAGTTTTATTCGTAATCATGGAAACTTGACAGAAATTTCTTTTGTAGGAGTTGGGAATGGAAGCCGGGAAGTGACGAAAACTGCTTCAATGAGTCATACCCGATTGAGGGTTCATACTGGGGAACTGGTTCAAACATGGAAATCATGGATATTATACACGACCAAATGCAGGATCTGAAAGCGAAGGTAACATTTTTGAATATCACCCAATTGTCAGAGTACCGGAAAGATGCACACACATCGGTTTATGGAGAACGTCGGGGAAAGCTCTTGACGAAGAAACAAAGATCGGATCCTAAAAAATTCGCCGACTGCATTCACTGGTGCCTACCTGGGGTTCCTGATACATGGAATGAAATTTTGTATGCACATTTGATGAAGAGTCACCAAAATATTTTGTAACACGAATTTAACAATCAAGTCTTCGATAAAATGTACGAAAGGTACATTTGTATGCTAATATTGAGGATTAGTAGTGCAGCATTTTTCCAGGAAGAAGAGAGAGATGTAACACCTGCAATAGCATTTGTATTGAACTCTTTTGTTGATCTTCTTCAACCAACAAACGAAATACGACTTGAATTGAATTTGTTGACCGCAAGCATACAAAATTCAAAATGCTTTCGTTGTTCTTCTTAGCCAGCAAACAACGGGCAAGAGGAGATAAAATCCAGAAACAATACTGACCAGCTAGAACTCAATACTATAATTTTTAACTAGTTTATTTTGTGTATTTCAACAATGAGATAGAGGAATCATCCTCGATTTATAAATATGCGGTTTTGTATAATTCTCACCATATTTACCTGCAAAGGCAAGCGGCCCTTTAACCACTCCGTTGAAATATTTACAGGGACATGTTATTTACAGCAGCTCCCAGTCAGAATCACAGGCATCATCAGTTTCCGAACTTTTCACGTTAGATAGTGTTTGTTGGCTGGTTTCTATATGACTGTCTCCGAACCAAATTGCTAGCTGTTTGTACTCCTTTGCCAACCTCTTCTTTGATGTAAAAGCATCCTGGATTCTTTTCTGAATTTAAGAAAGAAAAAAGAAAATTGATCAGTCAGGCTCATGTTGCTATTTAGGCACATAATGTTCTGATACAATTTCATAATTTTTTAAAATAATATATAATAAAACTTTTTTCCGATAAAATCATTGATCTCTAGAAAGTTCAGATGGGTGACTGCAAAATAAATCTAAATTAGAGTTAACTGTAAAGCGTAAATATGCTTTAAATGTGAGAACGAATCCATAAGCATATTCCATGTAAAATGCCAGCCTGAAATGATGCATGCAATCTTCTTTGTCTTCTCATTCATTTCAATAGAAATTTGTAAGTGTTTGGACAATGGAATACCGTATAACATGTACCTTGTATGATCTTTGTTTTCTTGCCCTGCTAGAGACAGCGTGCAATACGCTATCATCTACAATGACACAGCTCTCCTCCAGCTGTACCTTATCATGGAAATCAACACTCCTCTCCTCCAGCTTTACCTTATCATGCAAATCGATGGTTTCCATAGAAGAGCGAGAAAAATCACTACTTGATTCATCTGAACTTCCTGTAAACAATTAACGACATTAAAGAAAAGGTGACATCATAAACACATCATAAAAGGATCTGGTCTAGATCAGTTCAAAGCTAATAGATAGCGTTAAGGCTCTGCATGATTGCAACATCAATCGCAACACCATTGCTTTTACTACCAACAAAAATTCATATGAATGTATCTCAGGAATCTCACTTCTGATATCTCCAGGAAGGCAATAGACTTTGAGCCTAGGAGTTTTAAACATGAACAACAGGAAAGAAAATAAAAAGAAGTACCAAATGCACATTCTGCCACATACCAATATCTAAAGACGGCTTAAGAGCATCATACTGAACAGAGTCGCATATTTCAACTTGCTTCTTTCTAGATGGTACTGTCAGAGGCATGAACTCTGCAGTTCTGGAAGTGCCTTCTGCTGTAATAGTAATACCCAAGTTAATCAATACTGGTTTTTCATAGAAAGCAAGAGTACATCTATGACAAGCCAACCAAAAATACTAACCTACTGATTCAGGTGATATGACACTGCTGAAACAAGATTGCCCCATATCAATGTCCTTATTCTCACCAGACACAGATAGAGATGAAGCAGATGATGGGTGCCCAGTAGAATCATTAGATACACACCCAACCACCTCACCAGCTTCCAGGGATAAGTTTTCAGGAGAATACCCAGAGAGCCAAGGTGATTTCTTTGCAGTGGAGCTGATGAAGGATGCAAGTTCCACATTCTCAATAGCGTTCTCCCCAGATACAACTGAAAAGGCAATTTCAGTAGTAGTACTTGAAGCACCAGATACACACTCAGTTTCATCCAAAGTGTTATCACAAACATTCAATTTTTGTTCGGACTCCAATCCATATGCAGAGCTTGCAGGTGCAACCTCAGGCAAATCAGTATGTCTATTTTTATGATTGCTATGAGAAAATACCCCGTGTGGGGACACTACAAAATGTTCTGCCACAAAAGAAGAAGTTAACTCCTCTAATATAGGTGCAGACACTTTTATGGCAGTTTCTTCATTGTTTGCTTCCGAGTCTTTATTGGTAGAAATGTCATCAAATTCTGGAACCGACAAGTCAGACTCTGATACCTCAGGGGTATTCAAGGAAGCTGGAGAACTAGGTTGACCTGCAAGGTTATATTTACTGAAGATAAGACTCGGCTGGTGTGGATCAATTACACTGGGGTGTGTAGGTGTTTGGTTTTCAGTTGCATCTAAAGAATTTTCATTTGTCCAAACTTCATCAGTATTTTCCACAGATAACTCAGACTCTAAGACCTCAAGAGTATCCACTGCAGCAGGAGAACTAGATTGATCTGCAAGGTAATATTTCCTGCCAACAAGACTCAGCTGTTCAGTCACATGATCCATTACATTGGGCTCCATAGGCGATTGCTTTTCTGTTGAATCTAATGAGTTTTCAATGTTTCCCACAGATAAGTCGGACTCTGACACCTTAAGAGTATCCATTGAAGTTGGAGAACTAGGTTGATCTGGAAGGTGATACTTACTAGAGACAACACCCAACTGGTTTGTCCCACGATCCATTGCGTTGAGATTTGTAGGTGATTTATTTTCCATCGCATCTACAAGACCTTCACTTGTCAAAACTTCATCAACCTTTCCCACAGATAAGTCAGACTTTGTCACCTCAACAGTATCTATTAAAGTTGGAGAACTAGGTTGATCGGCAAGGTGATATTTACTAGAGACAAGAGTCAGCTGGTTTTTCACTGGAGTCTTTACATTGGGCTCTGTAGGAGATTGCTTTTCAATTGCAACTAAAGACTTCTCATTTGCCAAAACTTCATCGATCTTTCCCACAGATAATTCCGACCCCTCAAGAGTATTCATTGTTGGAGGATTAGGTTGGTCTGGAAGGTCATTTTCCGTAGAGACCAGACTCAGCTGGTTTCTCACAGGATCCTTTACATTGGGCTCTCCAGGTGATTGGTTTGCAGTTACATCCAAAGAATTTTCCTTTATATTTTCCCTTGACTTAACACTAATGGCAGATTTCTGTCTAATCATAGGAAGTAAATCTTGGACAGTATTAGAAAATTTCTTCACACTTTTACCCACAGTCTGCACCTGGTTTTCAACATATTTAATTGAGTCCTGCGAAAGAAATATATTCATTATTACGAGAGGAATTGACGACTTCAGTTACTGCATAGCAGCAACCACACTAATCAAAGATAAGATGCAAATGAAATATTTTTCATTTGGGCTTTTTTTGCCCTTATTACCTGATTCACAATACCATCCGCCTCCTGGCGGATTGCTTCAAATTTCTGGTAAATGTTTCCAACCCAATTCATACTTTTGAGTTTTTTAAAATCCATCACAACCACCAAACTGTACCTGCAACCAGTCAAATTGTATTTTTTTTATTCAGTTGTTTACATTAGTCAGACATAGAGAGGACAGCAAAAATTACCATCCCAGGCTCCCAGCTCAAGTACAGGCATAGTGAGAAAACAGAGGTATAACATAGAATATCATAGTAGATGAACTACAATGTGCATAATAAGTTCACGTTAAGTCCCAGATTACAAATTTTTCGAGTGACAAACAAAACTGTGCATAAAGTTAACACAAGGCAGAAGAGAACAAAACAAAAGTATTATAGGTTACGAGAAGCATCACAGTTGCAGTAAAATAGAATCGAAGCAAGGAAATTGATCTAAACCTGACAGTGAATGAAAATGCATGAAAAGACCAAATAATAAACCAAATTATTTCTGACGAATTGAGAGGTTACTGGTCTAGAGAGCACAGAGTACGGAAAATATCCAAGATAACCGTCAATGCAACGATTGTATATTTGTATATCTGAGGATCACTATTTTGTGCGTACACTATATTAAATATACTTATTCATATATATATGTATGTATGTATATGTATAAGTACGGGCTTTGTATACCTATTCAATGTCATCTAAAACTAAATAGAAAAGTTCCTCAAATTCAAGACTTTTACCTATTCCTTAACACTTAAAACACAAAAGTCTTGAGCAACACCTATATTTTCGTTTACACCGCCTTACCAGTGCTTCTTTCGTTTACACCACCTTAGCTGCTCTTATGAAAGTCTCAAGCAACATCAACCGCGTGCAAGCACATTCTTAACCGGGGTTTCAATCTTTAAACTCATAAGAGAAACAAAACCAAATAAAATTTAGGGTTTAACAAATTCATATAAATTTCATACATGAGTCTTCCATCATCATCTCGCCCAAGAACAAAAACAGAGTTTTTTTTTTCAAACAGTAATCACAATTAAGCTATTAATTTAAACTTGATCAAACTCTCTCATCAATCACCATCATCAAATTCAATTCCAAAACCCAAAACTCACACTGAAATTAAATCATTCTCAGAATTCACATAACAGGCAAACAAAAACAAAAACACAGCAGCTCTCTAAATACAGAAAAACATAAGCTGTGTATAATTGTACACACAAAATTCAAAACAATGATCCAAATATAAACACATACATGCATACATAATTGTTACAATTCGGAAAAAGGTTTTTTCCGTACAAAAGAAGAAAAAAAACCCAGCAAAAATAAATTTAAAGTGTGCGAATTGAATGGAAAAGCAACTCAATTTGAATGAATAAGAAAGACAGAAAAGAGGAGGAGAAGAATTGCCGGCAAGCTCAGTTGGACCTTTCTGTGATGGCAAAGAGAGAGAGAGAGAGAGAGAGAGAGAGGAGAGAGGTTTAGGGAGAAGGAAGGGGAGGGTTTAATAAAGAACGTCTTTGTTATGTTTGTTTATCTTAAATCGCATATTATTATTAAATAATAAAGTTTAAATTATATAATTTCAGTCCTACTGAACTTCAATATATTTGATTGGGAAAAGGTCAGCCGGGCCTCCTCCTCCTCCTCCTCCTCCTCCTCCAATCCTCCTTCGGCCCTCCTCCTGTCCTCTCCTCCCTTCGCTTTTTAGAGTGCTACTATGCTCATCCCGTTTTTATCTCTCATCCCCATTTATTTTACCACCTACCATTAAAAGAAAAAACAACAGGGTAATATTTTCACACCCGTCGTTATTTCTAAAAGAATCTTAATATTTTAAATTCTTAACCATAAATATAAAAAGAAAATAACAATTGAAATTTTTTTTTTGTTTAATTTGCTCAATGAATTAGGTCTAGTACTTCTTGTCAATGGATTTTTTTCGATGGTGTCAACAGAAAAGCTTGAGATAACATAGCTTTTTGAAAATTTCCCTTTGGATCTCAGCTGGAGAAGGTTGTCGTGGGTTGGATTTGAACGAGAGAAGCTATCGCGTGTGTGGCGTATGATGAAGGCGAGGCATTCCAATCGGGTTGTGCATATAGAGGAGTCGTATGGGATTTGCAGAAGGTCAGCAAGCAAGTAGCAGGTCTGTGGGTTCATCGTGCATTTTGGGTTTCAAAAGCACTTGAAATGCTTTCTGCAAGCGTCAGTTATGTGATTCTTCCAAGAAGCATTTTAAGTACTTTTCCAAAATTTACTTGCATTTTTACTAAGGATTAGTTTCAAAAATATTTCACCAAAAGTGCTTTCAGTCATTTTAAAAACACATCTAAACGAGTTCTAAGTGAGTCGGGGAGTGAGTTATGGCTCATAATGGGATAGTAATAATGTGGTTCAAATTCACCTTTGACGAGAATTGAATCTAAAATCTCTCATTGTTGACCGTAAAAACTATCAAGCCTACATGGCGCGCAAGCCTAGTAACTAATAAGCTAATTACGTCTTTCGATTATGTGCGGGGCATGCCAACTTGACGGCCGAGCTCAGCTGGGGAGTAAAATGTGTTGATGTGGCGTTGAGCGCGCTGCTGACTTCTTGATCTTGCGACTGCAGCCGAGGAAGTAACACGTCTCGGCCTTTGGGTTCTAGAGCCTGAAGACAAGGCTACTAATCTTGCAAAGTTCACGAGTCGTCGGTGCCAGGTTCGATCATGGTGATTATGTTAGTGAGAGTATAAGCACGCCGAACTGGCACCAGACTATATGGACACAAATACTCAAAATAGATGTATGTCTTAATAGTAAATGTGGTTCAGCCATCTGAATGCCGAAATTTGAAACTTACTTGCGCGTATCCAATCATAAAACAACTCGGCTTTCAATGTGCCGAGCCTAATAATCTGTAAAACCTCACTTCACCGAGAAGACTGATGAGATGACCTCTGCCAACAAGGATTCGGAAATCCTTCTCGACCGAGACTTGGATAAATAACCAGTCGGCCTCAAAGCAGTGTTGTTTATCCAAATTGAAGGTACTCATCGATCGGCTAATTCTACAACTCCAATTTTGTCTATCCAAACCAAGGTTCTAAAAAATGCTAGGCACTAGTCGGGTGGTGGACTAGTGCCTAGCGCCTAGGCGGCTAGGCGAAGTCTAGTCGGGTGCCTAGGCGGCCTAGGCGGATTTAGGTAAATTTATCGTATATCTTGTAAATAAGTGCATATTGACACTTACAAAAAATTATACTTCTATGAAATCCATGAATAAGATAATAAAATAATGATAAAATACAAAAAAAATATCCAACAATGTCTCTCCAATAGATAGGATTTTTTTTATTTTTTAATGAACTAGATGGTATAAGATGAAAGTTCATATAATAATAAGTATGTATTACTTAATAAATATTTTTTAAAGATTATTTATTATATAGTGAACTTAAAAAAAAAAAAGTAAAAGTGTAAACTTTGTGGTTTGTAGTCTGTAAAAAGGAAGGTGTGGCGCACTGCACCAAAAAGGGATGTGGGGCACACCACACCAATATTCAATGTATGTTTGACAATTGATTAGAAGGTAATTAATTTAAAAAAAAAAAAAGTGGAGTGGAATTCTGTCACATGGGGGAGTGGGAAGAGAGAGAAACACATTTCTATCTTCTTCTTCCTTTCGTCTTCATAAAACGCAGAAATGTAGAAACAGAACAACGCAGCTCTTTGCAACAACAAAAAGTTTAAAACGCCCAGATCGCCTAGGTCATCGAGTCGTACGCCTAGGCCGCCCAAGCACCGCCAGCTGCCTCAGCGCCCGCCTAATCCTCTTGCCAATTTTTCTCCCGATTATGGGCTAATCGGAGCGGCTGGCCACCTTGTAGCGCCTAGGCGGCCACCTAGGCCAATTTTTAGAACACTGATCCAAACTAAAGATGTCGCCGATTGCCTTCACAGTGCTGTTTATCCAACTGAAGATGTGTTGGCGAGAAGAAAGGGGAGAAGGATAAAATCTCAAGGTTGTTGAGAAGTTTTGCGTATGGCAATTTGTGTGTTGAATTGGAGGGGCCTTCTCTCGTTGTATATCTTCTTGTATTTATAGGACTACATACGCATATACTTTTCGTGAAGTATTCTTTGCTGACCATAATTGAATTCTCTTGAAGATAATCACCTCATTCGAAAATTCATGATAATCATCCTTAATTTGGTCACTGGATTTGATGCTAATCTTGATCCTTGTCTGCCATTCATGATAGCCATGTGTCAGATCAAGTGGTACGTTACTGAAACTCTTCCCGTAGCATCCTGAGACAACCATGCAATGTTTACACCCTTCTTCACATCCAAGTACAAGCATTGCCAAAGCTAAAACACTTTAAGCCATGTCGTGCTTGTCCCTGGAGTATATACTAATTATTAGCATATATTTTGTGCTAATAATTATCCCAATCTAGAATATGCCACTCCATTATCTTTTGATGATCATCAAGTACCACTATTGACCAAAATAACCTATATGGTTGACCGACTCCAAACACACGTGGAGGATATTCCCTATGATTTCGTCTTGGCATCCCATGCATGCATGAAGACCATGCTCAAGACAATTCTGTTCAAACCCATCATGCTGCTCCAACCTGATAACAAGAATACTAAGTTCATTTGAACTGTGCTGCTTGCTTGGAGATAATTTGAATCTCATTTACCCCGTATAAGAAAATATCAAGATGAATCATATTAAACGATAATTATTATGATAAAAACCATAATATTATCCTTCAAAAATAATAAATTATCTACACTTTTCCATCCGATGGTTGGGAGCTATACTCACTCAACGGCCTTGATTGCACATGGCGATGGTGCAATTTCAGGTCCAAACACTCACTTACAAGTTAAGAGGAATATCACTAAAACATAGTACTAAGTGGCTCATTATGAATCTTTTAGCCGTGAGTTCTATCTTCATACGAAAGACGTGGAGGGGGGCGGGCGGCGGAACCGATACTGGCCCGTGGTGGTCCTGGTGTATACGGAAGGAGAAGAAAAAGATTGGAAGGGGAGTAGGGGACGATCTCGGCAGGAGGGTTCTACTATTCTTTCTTTTTTTCACTTTTTCTTTATATTTAATATTCAAATTGAATTTATAATTATGTATAGATGGCTTTTTTTTTAGGTTTTTAAGTCGAGATTTTATGGTGGTTTTCACGTGGTGTTGTTCGTATTCGTCCAACACGTATGTCATGCCGTAACACTAACTGAATAGTTGATGGATAGAGAGTGGAAGAACGACATTGATTTGCAACATCTATATTCATAGATAACATTGATTGATTTTTATTTTCAGAGATTGTGTTGGTGAGTTGCGTCAATTTCACGATCATTTGCGTCAATTTCACGACCATTTGGTGATTTTCAACAAAATATTTCTTTAATTTAAAGTGGATGGGGAAATAAGACATAGGGGTTGGAATAGCAACACTCGCTTTTTATTAGGACATACGATTCTTAGCATCTGTGGATCTGGATTGTATTACTCTGTCTGATGTAAATTCATTTGGTTCTTATTTTTAATTTTCATAAGGGTATGAGTTGGACTCGATTTGTGTAAAAATGAGTCTAAAATCGAGTTCATATTTCTTATGTCTGGATAACCCGGCCCAAACCATTTAAGGTTGTCTTAGTATTTGCCATTTTATTAGTGGCCCACAATGAAGCACATTATTCACGATTCCGTATCTATCTAACCCTAATAGTAAAATGACGTTCAAACTTCTTCAAACAAATATTCTTTGAGTCCCTTTAAGAGCATTTATTGGTTTTGACTTTGGATGTAATTTTTTCATAATGAAAACACGTAGAGGTTGTTTTATATTGTTGTTTTATTATAAAACATATAATTTAAAACGTATATGTTCAGTGGCGGATCCAGGAATCTTACCCCAAGGGGTCGCAGTGTAAAAGTTCAAATAAAAATTTAGGATGGAAAAACATATTGAAAATGAAATCATAGTACTTTCATTCATAATTCACAATGAAAACAATATTACAAACTATTGGGGAATGAAGCGTCGATTAATTCCTGCCACTGGCTTCCATACTCCCCGTTGGTGTCATTTATCAAGCCAATTGCCTCAAGACAACTTTCCATTGAGAAAACTGTGATTAATGAGGTGATGAAGTCTGTTGATTGGTACCTCTTACCACATTCATCACCACGGAAGTTGCAGAAAATTGTTGAAAAGGACATAACAAGCTCTGGAACATGGCTAGATCTCCGGAATGATTCTGAGGAGGTTGTTTTCGAGATGGTAGAAGATGTTTTAGAAGAACTGATCATGGAAACCATATTTTAGCAGCCCTTCTGAAAAATTATACTACCTATAGATTTGGTCTGCATTGGACAATGAAAATTAGGCACTCGGGTTGGTTAGAAGAACTGGTTTTAAGTCACTTGAGAAATGTTTCTGGCAGCGTTTGCTATCCTCTTGTTGAAGGTGCAGTCCAAGACTGGGGAAGATCATCAAAAGAAGACGACTGGAGCTGGATTGACAGCTTAAACTTGTCAATAAACCTGCAATCAAGAGTTTCCGGGTAATGAAATTGTTTTACTTAGATGCTGACGGTTTATAGTTTCTACAGAAGAACAACGAATTAGGATCTAATACTAGCTGAAAATGCAGAGTTTTTGGGATTAAACTACCCTACAAACACTCACAAGTATGTAAACTTGTTATGAAAAACCATCCAAAATAAACTAATAGCTTTTCAATATTGTATTTGAATTCACTGATTCATGAGGTAATTGCCTTCATTTCCTTACCTAGGAACGCCTGTAGTGCTCGAATTCAGACACCCTCATGCAGGAAGAGGGCGCATTAACATATGGAACTCCAATGTCACAGTCACTCAATTTAGCCTTGCAAGTATGTGGCTTGCAAATGGCTCCGGGGAGGAGGATAACTCTATACAAGCTGGATGGATGGTATTAGTATGTGTTTGGTGTTAACCCTGTTTATGATAAAATTGAAAATTAATTATGTTTGTATAAAAAAGATTAACAATTTGACCCTTTTTGTTTATAAAACCTCAAGGGCAGCTGGGTCGGAGCCGGATTTTCAGCATTATTTTGAAGAATGTAGGATTCGTTGCTTTCCATATAAGCATTATTTTGAAGAATGTAGGATTCATTGCTTTCCATGCGAGCGCTGTTTCTTCTTCCTCTTCCTGCCGAGTCTTGGTTCAGGATTTTTGTTGAACAGTTGGCGTGCGAGTCCGACACCGACGACCCAGCTCCAAGAGGTCGCATATGGGAGCTTCAAGGTTGTTTCCATGGTTTCCAAGGGGTCGTGCGACCCCGACGACCCCACTGTGGATCCGCCACTGTATATGTTCAACCCCTAGGAATTGGGCATATCAAACGGATCCAAATGAGCCGGTTGCACCAATATAAATACATAGCTTGGACTCGTTTACAAAAATACAATTCGAGTCCGAGTTCACCAAAAACAAGTCCGTAGACGAGTCAAATCCGTAATGCTTTTACTGAATACGTTTGTTTGTTTTGTCAAGTTAAATGGCTAAATATTTTTCATGTATTATTAATTTTTCTTCAAAAATGATCTTTATATGGTGGCTTATAATATTAAAGAAAAACTAATATTACTTCCAATCAAAAGTACGAAAATTTGTAAATTAGTCACGAAATATTTTAACAAAAAACTCCTCCTCATCATTTGAGAAGCTGAGTTAATTTGTAAGTGATAGTACTTTGGCAAAACGCAAAGTATGTGAAATTTTAAACGCATGGATTCCTTTTGTTTTTTGTTTCTTCTGTAGATTATTGTTTAGTAGTCAACAGTGTAACAAATCGTCTCATAGACTAATTGTTGAGAACACACTAAACCCACACACACGGAATTAGAAGGGATAAACCTGAACGAATTTCCCAAGTTAGCATTCATTTCCTCCTTTAATACAATGTAGACTCTAGACACCAATCGTGACCTTAGAGCAAGGCAAGATGCATTACACAATTCACATTCTCCTGGTTCGGCAATCAGCCCGTCGTTTTCCGTCAATTTCGTGTGGCTGGTTTGGTTAGACATTGAGTAGATGATGTTGGGCAGACTTGTCGGCCTAAAGTTTGATCCCACAAGTTGAAGGGTACAAATAAATTTGAATTCACAAAGGCATCTTTCGGGAGACTTGGATTGTCTGCTCTCCTCATCTCATACCCTTCCCATGCTCTCCTATATTTTGTGATCACGGTTAAGTCACGTCAACATTTTATATTAATTTTTTATAAAAATAATAAGATAAAACAATAGGAATATAAAATGTTGACGTGACTTAACCGTGATGACAAAAATAGAAGGGTATGAAAAGGGTATGGAATGAGAAGGGCAAACAATCCAAGTCCTCTTCGAGCAGCCATCCCTCTCAGAGACCATGTTTTCAATTAAATCACTCTGATTAGATGCCCACTTAAAGCAGGCCGATTGACTAATACATCTTTCAAGTTTCTAGTCTTTTTTTTTTTCGAGTCGCCGGTTGATGACAAAGGTCGATATCAGAAATCAGAAAAACAAACGTAACGAAGAATAAAGCTGAAAATTGATGCCCAATCGCTCTCTACTTTCACTTTAACACGAAAGAAAGTACGCTTTATACAACTTTCAAACATCAATCATAAGCCTTCTTTTCGGCTGCTACGGCTCACACAGCATAACACAATTCATCTCACGCGGATTTGGCATCAGAGTACTCATCTTCATCACTTCTGGGCCTCCCGCTCCAAAATTCCACTCACTGCCCGACAAAGAGAACCCGCTTGGAGAAAAAAATCCGCAATTCATCTCACCGAGCTAAAGCAGCAACATATTTATTCCTCAACTTCTTCTTCACTTCCTGGCCTCTGGTCCCCAAATTCCGCTCCCCGCCCAACAAAGAGAAATCACTCGCAAATCGCAATGAAAAGAATGGGGCGAGAAGACAGCGAGACAACTCAAAATCACGTCAGACAGGAAAAACGTTCAACAGTTTGAAAAAGGAAACAACTTTCCTAAGTGTAAAGAAAAAAACGGAAAACCACCATTATCGGGGAGGGGAGAGTAGTTTGTCAATCAAATAACACCGAACCATCTAAAACGGAAAAAGCGGGACAGAGAAAACATAACAACACAACACTGGATTGGATGGATAGAACAAGATACGACGTCGAAATGATTCCACTGGTGGGTACCGTCACATAAATTGAAATTCAGCACAAATGTCTCTACTAAGAAAGAAAAGAACCACTTTCACAACCCAAACATCTACATCATATAATATGTAAAGAGCAATGGCACGGGGTTCTTCAACGAAAGAACCACAACTTTTAAGCAGAGACGCCACGGATCACAAAGCTAAGGCACTCAACAATACCCACGCAACACCAAGCCTTCCTGTCCATCAAACTAATGCACACCTAAAAAATAATCACGCAAAAACCATTTTTTCAAATAGAGACGCACCATGGACCAAAACAGAATCAACCGTACAGCTAAACTGAAGTGCAGTCAATCTCCACTCGCTTCTAGACGGTCTAACAAAGACAGCTAAATTATAGAGGCATGAAATATGTACTAGAAACAACGCTTTTACAATCAAGAATTTATACGGTCACCAACACTTTAGGGCTCCTTAATAAACCACCAAAAGCTTAACGAGTTCCACTACAAAGAGAATTACAACCATATAAGCCATGCAAGGTATAAAATTTGTCTATGATGTATATCACACCCCAGGGTCAAAGATAAAGAAAATCATACCTCAATCTGTAAATGGGTGAGAGGGAAAAAAACAATCTGAATACATAACAAGTACACCAAGGAAAACCCCACAATATTCACAACGTATAAAGGAACTAACGGATACACACATCATAGTCATAAGAGACCATAGGGAAACCCACAACTGTTGCAGTGAGGGTCAAAAACCAATGAAATGTAACCAATCTTTTTCACCAAAAAGAAAGCTTGAGATAACCTCACCAGCATAATTTTACAGCAAACATAAGTCGTAAACTCAATGCGGTAACCTATGTGCACTTGTAAGACCCATATAACAGCAGCAAGCCCCCATCTTGAGAGCTCCATACAGGCAAAGTCATATCAATTATCAACTAAAGAAAGAGCAACAACTGCCATACATGCCTTCTCAAAGTAAAAGAAACATAAATCCGGTTATTATAAAAAACAAACTATACTTTATGGTAAAAAAACCTACAAAGCACATCAATTCCCGACAGAATACAGAAAACTAGTCTAATTCAGTCACTTTGGCTACCATAACTTGGAAATGACTACATCTTAAAAGGTGCAGATGAAGAGGCGATAAAAGCACAGCTAATACAATCATCAAACCACAGCATATAGTCTGCAATCACGCAATCACCAGAACCATATAAAGCATCTGCGCCAACAAGCGGTCATACACCTGAATCAAACATCAATCAATAACTCAATCCATGTTCAATTGAACCATAAAGCACACAAACACATCAATTCAGTAAACAGGCAAACAGATCAAATCAATAACCCCACAAAACACATTTCACACAACTTGAAATAAAAATCAAAATGAATCACAAGGCATAGTGATAGCTCATGTACCTTTAACACTAACATACAAAATCAAAACATCCTTGCTACCTTACCAAAATATTAGAAAATACTCACACAACTAGAGAACAATAAAATGATAAGATAATTCAAAAGTGACAAAAAAAAAACAAATAATACAACTGTATCAAAATTTAGAAGATGAATTCATCATCTTACAGCAGGCTATACTTCATTGAGCATAAAAATAATTAAATAAAACTAACAACCAATAGTTGGCTTACATCAATAGAATACTGGAATGTGGAAATGTTTTGACGGTTTCATTGGTAAGTCAAGCTAAACTTTGTACTGACCAAGAAAATGCAAATCTTTCCTCAAATAAATGTATGAATGATAAGAGGCAATCCTATGCATGATTTTTTGTTTTTAGGAGAAGAAAAGGCAATCACATAATGATCCCACTACTTCATTAACCCTCCAAATCAACTGTTACAAAAGCTCCACACACACATTATTAACCACAATTCCTAAAGCCAAATTTATATCACCCTTTGAATATTACAACTACAAAGATATGAATGCTTCGAATATTACACAGTGCAGTCACTAGAGCAACCACTAACCTCCAATAACAAATAAACAGCTCTACGTAGAAAACAGCGATTTAGCTCAAGCATTTGATACTGCATGTATGTTCTTAAATATACGTATACATAATTCTGTATCATATACATATTTAAATATTTTTAGTAATAATATTCATGTCTCAAAGCTTACACTCGATTTGCATGACGGAGAAAGCCCTATACTTTTTTTTTTGCGTATTAAAACACTGGATGAAACCTACACACTAAAATCTGACTATGAGCAAAGCACATCATCCATGTAAGTCACTCGCTATACCTCCTATGGCATGTTTACTTGATTGGATTTGGGAAAGTGATGAATAGGAATGAATCTGGTTGTATAGGTATGGAATAAACTACCCTCATGTGATATCTGATTTTACAGTAAGACCCACTAATTTTTATTATTCCTTATGTCTTAGGCTCTTAACAAACACAGAAAACACCACTTATTGGAATCTATAGTGTTGGACTAATGACATTACTGTTGGACTCTATCACTTAAAGTTATGATAAGTTGCTCAATCAATCCCATCAAATTCCCAACAAAAACTATATACAAATACATAAAATATAATAAAAGTCACAAAAGAGATAATTGAATTCCTTCTCAAGTATTAGGCTTCCACCCGCATTGACCAAAGGAAAAAAATGCACACAAATCCATCCACACCCACCAAACAAAAAAGGCTTCACTATGCGGACTGGAGAAGCATCTTGTAAAGATTAAAGATTCTAATATCCATATTACTCCATAATTAAGGACTAAAAAGTTAACACTTAACACATAATTAAAATTTCAAGTCATATAAATTTCATCGGTTAAGAGAAAATAGAAAACACTAAAATTCATTTGGAAACTCAATTGCTTAAGTTCTTCACTAAATATGACCCGACATCATAAATTAGAATGAAATATCCACATCTACTATTTTTGCTAAAATTAAAACTTAGGAGGCAACACAAAAAGTACTGTTAAATCATTTCATTGAAAATTAAAAACAAGAGAAATACTACAGCAAAGGGAAACCATCTTCCTCTTATGTAAAAGTGAAATGCTTGGTCACCTCTCAATCAACGAAAGCAAAGAGAATTCACGCAGAAGCATGAACAAAGACGTCCTAGGCACACATGTAAACCAAAGGAAAAAACAAATGCAATACACAATTAGTCTAAGGCACAAATTTTGTAAAGAAAGAACCAAACCAAGAAGCCGCAACCATACACAAGTATTCTAACCAGGCACCAAGAACTTCAACCAACACCACCAAGCTATACACATAATAGCAAAGGATAAAATAATGAAAATACCTCAGAAATAAGGTGGCACATTTGGGTACATGCCACCTTGCGGAACCCTTGGATGGGGGGACGTCCCAGCTTGCTGGTGGTGCTGATTCTGATATGCCGACAGGCCGTAGTGCCCGCCCTCTGGATACCTCCCAGATGGTAACCCACCTGAACTCGGAGGCAATCCATACAAAGACGACCCGGTACCCACACCCGGACCACCACCAGCCGACCCAGCACCACCTAGTCCAACACCTAGCCCACCAGCACCACCTAAACCATAACCCCCAGGGCCGCCATAGTTACCATAAGGCCCACCCAACCCTCCATATCCGCCACCACCACCCAAACCCGAATTCACCTGGTTTCCGATACCAGACAACCCAGGCCCACCCAATGGATGGTGACCCAACGGAGGCTGGCCCTGAAGCCCACTGGTATACCCACCATAAGAACCAATTCCACCTGGGATGCCGTACTGCCCAGGAATCGAAGACGGTGGTGCCATCCCCATCCCATCGCCGTGCGTATTGGACCCACTCCCGGGTCCTTGACCCTGACCCGGCCCGTCTGACTTGCCCTTTTTCCCATCAATCGCCAATTTACAAGTCAATTGCCTCCCCTCGATGTTCTTCACCGGATCGACGAGTGCCGCCTGAGCCCCCTCCGGAGTCTTATACACAAACAGCGCATACCCCTTGCACTTCCCAGTCTGCTTATCAAAGCCTAGCGGCCCCTCCTCTATCTCCCCGTACAGGGCAAAATGGGCCAAGAGCTTATCCGACGGCATGTCGTACGGAACATTGGCCACATATATCTTCCGCAACGATACGTCGGCGACGTTGTTGGAGGCAGTATTGGAGTTCGAATTCCCCGCGGAGGCGAGCTGCGTGACGGTCATGCGGCCGTCGATCTTCTTGCTGGGTTCTTTCAGGGCCATGAGAGCGCCGTCGACGTGGCGGAACGTGACGAATCCATAACCCTTGGATTTCCCGGTGGTTTTGTCGAGGATGACGATGGCCTCCTCGATCTCTCCGTAGGCGGAAAAGAGGGATCGGAGGCCCTCGGTGGTGGTGTCCCAGCCGAGGCCGCGGATGAAGAGCTTGCGCTGGGAGGCGTCGGGATCGGCGATGGAGCGGACGGCGTCGAGGACGTCGATGTGGCGGGAGAGGGCGTCCTGGAGAATGTCGAGGAGTTGATCGGGGGTGAATCGCTCGATGAGCCTGCGAGCATCTTCGGGGGAAAGCTTGGGAGCGGAGGAGGGATCTGTGTCTAGAACGACACCGTTTTCGTCGAGCTTGCGCTTCTTGGTTGCGTCCATTGGGAGAAGAGAGAGAGAGAGAGAGAGGATAAACCCTAACCCTTTGGGAAGAGGAAGAGAGCGGAGAGAGAGGGTGAGGGGTTGGGAGTTTTCCGAGCGAGTAATTATTCTGTATGATTTTATACTGGATGGATACCTTGGGCCTCTTCATATGAGTAAATATTCGAGTTAAATGGGCTTTGACTAGAGTATGGGCTTTTCGTAGTATGGACTGGACTTGAACATATTTAGCTAGTTGGGCTTCTCGTGACAGTTTCATTGAAATATATATAATATATATATATATATATATATATTTTTTTTTTTTTTTTTAACAAACGATTTTATTTACGCTAAAGAGAAGGAAGTGGGCTTAGCCTCACAATGAGCTAGCAGTAATGTGGTTCAAATTCACCTTTGGCGAGAATAGAACCTAAAACCTCTCACTTACAAGTGAAGATGAATATCACTAGACCGTAGTACTACGTGACATGAACCATATTTTATAGCTAGTTGGGATTTATATAAATGTGATTGATGTACAACAAAAATGAGGTTGTATGGTGATTTTGGTGGTGGCATTGCATATGTGATACTGATTGAGTTGAATATCAACACGCAACGAACGAGATTAACAAAATAATAAGAATATTATTAAACAACCGAGAATGCCGGAACGGCTACAAAACCCTAAGAGACTACATTGTGAATAGCTTGTTTTCTAATGAATAACAAAGCACTCTATTTATAATAAACTAACTCTAACCCTAATGCTAACAGGCTAGGCCCAAACTAAACTTATAAGAAAACTCAAGCAAAATAATACCTAAAATACTAATATATTCCAACACCCCTGTCAAACTCATGGCGGTATACGATATGGGTTTGCAAACAAGCAGATGCGGACTGGCTCCGTTAGGCGGACTGGTAGGCATGCAAACTTGACTGGACTGGACTTGCGAACTGGTGAACTTGCGAATTTGACTTGACTGGCAAACTTGACTTGATTCTTGACTTGACTTGATTCTTGCTGGCAAACTGATTCTGGTTCCGACTGACTAGAGTTGAGAGTATGAAAAGAACCCGTCACTAAACGGACGAGATTTTCATATCTCAATTGTAGCAATGAACAAACAAATACAAATACTATCACTCAAGTGGTTACAATCCAAGCACTCGAATAACAGAAAGACAAACTTGCAACACCTATTCGTGTGGGCCTCAAAAGGCCCAATCACAAAAACAAACAGCAAGTTTTATTCCTTGCCCGTGTGGGCCTCAAAACCTTAATAAGCAGTGGTTTTTCCGTAGAGGGGTCGACATCAAGTTCGAGATTCTGGGCTTGGTGGTTCCAGAGGATTCAAGATATAGCAGGGTGCAGCAGCAGTCAGTGGAGGATGGTGGTGGTAGGTCTAATGTGGGCGAGAGTAGCGGGCAGACATGTGTGCGGCGGCGGGATGCAGGTACGGTGTGAAGGCAGCGCAGTGGTGGGTAAACGAGTTCACGGGTCTGGTGCGGAGGTGCAGGTTGTGGACGGAACTGATCAGATTTCGGTGCAGCGGAGATGGCAAATATGGTGTGGAACATGAACGGCGGGTTTATCAGATTTGATTTGCAGGAGTTCAAGGGACTCAATCCGAGTGGTTCTCGGGTTGGAGCTTCGTCAAAACGTGCAGGTGACCAGAGACGAATACGGACGGCGGGAAAGGAGCAGAAGGCCGTCAACACAACTGAAAAAATTAACACTTTTTTTTTTTTTTTAAGCGAACTGTCAAACACAACTAGACAATCTGACCATGAACGAACACAAACCAACAGATACCAACCCAAAGCAGATTAAATCCCGAAGGATGAAACCTGCTCTGATACCAAGTTGAATATTAGAACGCAACGAACGAGATTAACAAAATAATAAGAATATTATTAAACAACCGAAGAATATTATTAAACAACCGAGAATGCCGGAACGGCTACAAAACCCTAAGAGACTACATTGTGAATAATTTATTTTCTAATGAATAACAAAACACTCTATTTATAATAAACTAACCATAACCCTAATGCTAACTGGCTAGGCCCAAACTAAACTTATAAGAAAACTCAAGCAAAATAATACCTAAAATACTAATATATTCCAACAAATTGAATAATAAGGGTCATGTAGTTCGGTTGATTAAGAGCATTCACTCTCAAACCCGAGCTTCCGAGTTTGATCCCCTCCTCTCATCTCCTGCCTGTATGGAATAATCTTGACAGGTGATATACACACGGTTACGGATATTTGCATTATTTTTTGGTTGATAATTTGTATGAATGAAATCAGCTTCTGATCGATGTTCGGGTTTCTGTCAGGGGATTGGCTGCTCCATACTCAACATCATGTTCCACTGTTTGGTTATGTGGGGGAAGCCACTCACATTGGGCAGAACACAGAGAATTGGAGCTATTATTAACCTATTTTGTCTCCCTTGGTTGCCTTTGTATCCTTCCCCAGACTTCACTGTTTGGGAGCCGCACACATCAGTGCTGTCATGGGTGAAAATTGTGATATTATCGACATCCGTCATTCTTTCCTCGACATAAATGCATACGAGAAGCAACGTTTAAGCAAGGAGGTTCCATCAGTTAATGCTTGGGGCCTAATTAGGCTTATTATCCTTGTTGTTATCATATGCCCTACCTTGAATTTTCTTTGGTAGATCCAACAAGTGAAGGTCATCGTTTGTGGGTTCTTTATGACATATGAGTGACAATTACTGCTTCTCTATGACATATGAGCGTTTTAGCCATATAATGTCATTTTGCTAGGCCAAATACGCGTTTTAAGTTTTGAGATAAAGAAGAAAGAACACTCACTACTTCTCTATTCTTAATTTAGAGTTAGGCTTCGCAAGATTAGGCATGTTTGATTGTGCTTTTAAAGTAACTAAAAGTGTTTTAAGATCGTCAAAAGGGCTTTTAACGACGTTGGCAAAAAATTGACAGTAATTTTGTCAGTTTTATAATAAAACAATAAAAACTACTTGAAATGCTCATATAATGAAGCACTTGAAGCAGCTGAAGTGCTTTTTAGAAAGAAAAAAGAAAAAAAACACTTGCAATTTTTTTTAAATGTTTTTATGTTTTTCCATTGTACTTGGGGCCTAATTAGGCTTATTATCTTTGTTGTTATCATCTGCCCCACCTTGAATTTTCTTTGGTAGATCCAACCAGCGAAGGTCGTCTTTTGTGGGTTCTTTATGACATATGAGCGACAGTTACTGCTTCTCTATGACATATGAGCGTTTTAGCCTTATAATATCATTTTGCTAGGCCAAATACGCGTTTTAAGTTTTGAGATAAAGAAGAAAGAACACTCACTGCTTCTCTATTCTTAATTTAGAGTTAGGCTTCACAAGATTATGCATGTTTGACTATGCTTTTAAAGTAACTAAAAGTGTTTTAAGATCGCCAATAGAGCTTTTAACGACGTTGGCAAAAAATTGATAGTAATTTTGTGAGTTTTATAATAAAATAATAAAAACTACTTGAAATGATCATAGAATGAAGCACTTGAAGTAGCTGAAGTGCTTTTTAGAAAGAAAAAAAAACACTTGAATTTTTTTTAAATGTTTCCATGTACTTGGGGCCTAATTAGGCTAGCGTGGAATTTAATTCATATGAAAAATACAGATGCATGACATTTAATTAGTGGACCACATTATGGAGCAATTCGAATACAATTTGAGATTTTAAGGTTGGGGCCCCCTATGTCCAATTTGTGCCCCTAACACACGGCGAGATGAACAACAGTTACTGCTTCTCTATGACATATGAGCGCCTTAGCCATATAATATCATTTTGCTAGGTCAAATATGCGTTTTAAGTTTTGAGATAAAGAAGAGAGAAGACTCACTACTTCTCAATTCTTAATTTAAAGCTAGGCTTCGCAAGATTAGACATGTTTGACTGTGCTTTTAAAGTAATTAAAAGTATTTTAAGATCGCCAAAAGAGCTTTTAACGACGTTGAAAAAAAATTGATAGTAATTTTGTGAGTTTTATAATAAAATAATAAAAACTACTTGAAATGATCATAGAATGAAGCACTTGAAGCAGCTGAAGTGCTTTTTAGAAAAAAAAAACGCTTGATTTTTTTTTAAATGTTTCCATGTACTTGGGGCCTAATTAGGCTAATTATTTTTGGATATGGATCCTCTCCGGATCCAGTTGTCCTAATCCACCTAGCCAAATCATTCGGGCTGTTGAAATTTGATCCAACGGCTAATGTTATTATAACTTTTAAAGTGGGCCCTTGTTTGTAGCCATTGGATCAAATTTCAACGGCCCGGATGATTTGACTAGGTGGATTAGGACAACTGGATCCGGAGAGGATCCATGTCCATTATCTTTGTTGAATCATCTGCCCCACCTTGAATTTTCTTTGGTAGATCCAATGAGCGAAGGTCGTCCTTTATGACATATGAGCGTTTTAGCCATATAATGTCATTTTGCTAGGTCATATACGCGTTTTAAGTTTTGAGATAAAGAAGAAATAACACTCATTACTTCTCTATTCTTAATTGAGGGCTAGGCTTCGCAAGATTATGCATGTTTGATTGTGCTTTTGAAGTAACTAAAAGTGTTTTAAGATCGCCAAAAGAGCTTTTAACGACGTTGGCAAAAAATTGACAGTAATTTTGCGAATTTTATAATAAAATAATAAAAACTACTTGAAATGCTCATAGAATGAAGCACTTGAAGCAGCTGAAATGCTTTTTAGAAAAAAAAAACACTTGTATTTTTTATTTTAAATGTTTCCATGTACTTGGGGCCTAATTAGGCTTATTATCCTTTTTGTTATCATCTGCCCCACCTAGAATTTTCTTTGGTAGATCCAACCAGCGAAGGTCGTCGTTTGTGGGTTCTTTATGACATATGAGCGACAGTTACTGCTTCTCTATGACATATGAGCGTTTTAGCCTTATAATGTCATTTTGCTAGGCCAAATACGCTTTTTAAGTTTTGAGATAAAGAAGAAAGAACACTCACTGCTTCTCTATTCTTAATTTAGAGTTAGGCTTCACAAGATTAGGCATGTTTGACTATGCTTTTAAAGTAACTAAAAGTGTTTTAAGATCGCCAAAAGAGCTTTTAACGACGTTGGCAAAAAATTGATAGTAGTTTTGTGAGTTTTATAATAAAATAATAAAAACTACTTGAAATGCTCATAGAATGAAGCACTTGAAGCAGCTGAAGTGCTTTTTAGAAGAAAAAAAAACTTGCATTTAAAAAAAAAATGTTTCCATGTGCTTGGGGCCTAATTAGGCTTATTATCCGTGTTGTTATCATCTGCCCCACCTTGAATTTTCTTTGGTAGATCCAACAAGCGAAGGTCGTCGTTTGTGGGTTCTTTATGACATATGAGTGACAGTTACTGCTTCTCTATGACATATGAGCGTTTTAGCCATATAATGTCATTTTGCTAAGCTAAATACGTGTTTTAAGTTTTGAGATAAAGTAGAAAGAACACTCACGACTTCTCTATTCTTAATTTAGAGTTAGGCTTCGCAAGATTAGGCATGCTTGATTGTGCTTTTAAAGTAACTAAAAGTGTTTTAAGATCGCCAAAAGGGCTTTTAACGACGTTGGCAAAAAATTGACAGTAATTTAGTCAGTTTTATAATAAAATAATAAAAACTACTTGAAATGCCCATAGAATGAAGCACTTGAAGCAGCTGAAGTGCTTTTTAGAAAAAAAAACACTTGCAACTTTTTTTTAAATGATTCCATGTACTTGGGGCCTAATTAGGCTTATTATCTTTGTTGTTATCATCTGCCCCACCTTGAATTTTCTTTGGTAGATCCAACCAGCGAAGGTCGTCGTTTGTGGATTCTTTAGTTGAAAATCTCTACTCGACGTCTTGAAGGGGTTGGAAATATTGCATTGTGTGGTTATGCTTGTTTGCCAATTTCTCAATCGGGATCTTGGAGGACCCCTCGACTTCTAACGTGTGGTTATGGTTGTTTTCCAATGTTGCAAAAGCTGCTTTTCCATCTAATGAAGCATAATTTTTTAAATGTAGAGACTCGAGATCCTGCTATATATACGAAGACAAAAGCATTGAGCTGCAGCAAGCCTTCAAACACAATGGCTCATGGCTTCCTTCTCATAATCATCTTATTCACGTCCATTATATCTCCAAATATCCACGCATGCAACCAAAATGAACATAGCGCTCTCTTGTCCTTCAACCTCACTCTATCCTCTCCTCCTTTAAATTGGACTTCCATTAACTGTTGTAGTTGGGAAGGCATCACTTGTAATCCGGAAGGTCGGGTCACCCATTTGCTCTTACCCTCGAAGGGGCTCGACGGAGTTATTTTTACCTCGTCATCCTCACTTGCAAACCTCACGCATCTCACCCACTTGAATCTCACCCACAATTCACTTCAGGGTTCACTTGAAAATAAACTCTTTGAGTCCTTGAATTCTCTTGAGATTCTTGATTTGAGCTATAACCTTCTTTCTGGAGAGCTACCTTTGTCTCTAACATCCAGCAACATCCGGACACTCGATTTGTCAAGCAATCGCTTCCATGGTCCAATTCCATCTTCGTTCTTCATGCATGCTTGGAAATTGACAAGTTTCAACGTTAGCAACAATGCCTTCTCCAGCAACATCCCATCCTCTGTATGTCTCCATTCTAACCCCTTGGTTAAAGTGTTGGATTTTTCCTCAAACCAATTCAGTGGCAACATTTACCGTGGTTTTGGGAGGTGTTCCGAACTGCAAATTTTTCGTGCTGGTCACAATAATCTCTCAGGGCCACTTCCAGAAGATATCTATAATGCCACCAAACTCAAAGAGGTTGCAGTACCTCTGAATTCTCTACATGGAGGCATAAGTGATAGAATTGTCAACCTCACCAACCTCGCAATCCTTGACCTCTCCTTCAATCAACTAAGCGCAGTGCTCCCTCTCCATTTGGGGAAGCTCTCCAGGTTAAAAATTGTACAGCTCGATTACAACAACCTACAAGGTCCGTTGCCCCAATCTTTGATGAATTGCACCAGCCTTGTAGAACTACGTTTGGGACGAAATAACTTGGAAGGAGACATTACCAAGCTTAATTTCTCCAAACTTGTTCAACTGACTAAACTTGACCTGCGTGTGAACGAGTTCACTGGTAAGTTGCCAATGAGCCTTTACTCATGTAGATCCCTGAAAGCAATTCGATTAGGTTCGAACAATCTAGAGGGACAAATACAACCTGAGATTCTTTCGTTAAACTCTCTGTCCTTCCTCTCTCTTAGTGGCACCCGATTGGAAAATGTCATGGGAGCAATGAAGATACTGATGCATTGCAAAAGTCTTCGAGCACTCCTCCTTACGGAGGCCTTTAACGGTGAAGAAATGCCATCTGACGATGACATGGTTGGTTTTGATGGATTTCAAAATCTTCGAGTTTTGAGCTTGGCGTCTTGTGATCTCACCGGTCAACTACCTGCATGGTTAGCAAAGCTAAAGAATCTAGAGACCTTGGCTCTGGCATATAACAAAATCGCAGGGACAATTCCTAGCTGGTTGGGGACTGATCTACCAAGACTTTTTCAGATAGACTTGGCAAGAAACCTTATTTCAGGTGAATTTCCAAAAGAACTTTGTAGAGTACCGGCGTTGGTACATCAACCTGTTGCAGCTCAAGAAGACCATTATGAACTCGAATTGCCAATCTACGATACCAACCCCGCCGGGGTACTAAATGCCTATAGCAGATTGTCTAACTTTCCTGCATTTATAGATCTTTCTTCCAACAACATTACCGGTAATATACCGTCTGAGATCGGCCAACTGCAGCGTCTCCATTCGTTGTATCTAGACGACAACAACTTCTCCGGCAACATTCCAGACCAAATTTCTAACCTTAAGAAGCTCGAAGGTTTGGCTCTCTCCGAGAATCACTTGTCCGGAAAAATCCCATCGTCTCTGGCGAGCCTTAATTTCTTGAATGACTTTAATGTCTCGTACAATAATCTCGAAGGTCCAATCCCAACAAGCACTCAGCTCCAAAGCTTTGAAGCTTCTGCATTTGAGGGGAATCCAAAACTTTGCGGTGCACCGCTTCCAAACGAGTGTCGCATTGATGCGCATGATAAAAATAACCGAGATGATGAGGACGATGGGCATCAACTACCGTGGTTCTATATTTTCGCTGCGTTCGGGTTTATTTTCGGATTCTGGGGAGTATGTGGTTCTTTGATCGTAAAGAAGACATGGAGATATGCATACTTTCGGTTCACAGACAAAGTACAAGATAGGCTCTATGTCATGTTAGCAGCGAGCATGAATAGGATGAAAATATGGCTTAGCTAAATAGAGTTATTTGTTTTTTCTGGGTTACAATTGAGGGTTTAGAAAATAAACCTCTGTTATGTATTTTATTTTATAATAAACGTCCCTATGCTGTCGAAGTTATTGCTTTGTAAATGACTCGTAAATCGTAATTTGCAAATCCCTCTCATATCCCTCCCACATTTCCAATCCCCCCTAACTTGGTCTCGATTCCTTGAGACTTGGAAATCCCTCACCCCAAACATAGCCAAAAGAAGTCAAAAATTTGATTCAGGGACCAAACTGAGAATCGGGTTACCAAATTGACAACGTAACATGACAGTTTTCTAGCAAAATAACATCATCACCAAAATATGCAAAAACCAATGTGAGAGCATAGCATGCAAAAACAATCTAGGAAAGAATAGCAACACATAATCTTCACAGAGGACTGCAAATTAACATGTTCCATTTAACAAGGATCCCCATGCAGTCTGCTTTCTGTCAATCGCAAAAGATGTGACCTTGAAAGTGTAATCATATTCGGATAAAAGGCAACCAGGTTCCGACCACAGCAATATGCCAAAGGAAATATCATTCAAGACCAGAAACATTGAAACCTACAGCCCATCTCAAGCAACCTCCTCGTTTATCTACAACATGCCTACAAGACTCATCATACTGCAACTAGCCTCAAGTTTAGTAACGGTTTGGACCAGGATTGACTCCAGCATCCCTGTCTGGCGTGTAGTTATTCTGGTATTGTCCAGGATCATTCCATCCTGCATTAGAAGGTGGAGCCATGTTGTTTGGTGGCACCCCTCCCGGGTTATTGGGAGGCATCTGATTGTAGTTGTTGGGCGGCATCTGATTGTAGCTGTTGGGAGGCACCTGATTATAGCTGTTCGGTGGCCCAGAATTCCAGTTGTTGCTTGGCTGGGGATTATTGTAGTTGTTTGGTGGACCCATGTTGGGAGGCGGCATTGGAGCCCTGTTCGGGGGTGGAGGACCCATGTTGGGAGGCTGCATTGGACCCCTGTTGGGGGGTGGAGGACCCATGTTGGCAGGTCCAGGTCCCGAATTTGGCCCAGCTTGATTAGGCATAGGAGATGGACCCGTATTCTGAAAATCACGATTCTGCATATTTTCCCTTCTCCTTTCAAAGTTCCTTGATCTGTCAAAGTTACGAGGTCTGTCATTACGCCTGTTTCTCTCATTTGCTCGACTATTGTTTCTTATCCATTCCTCATGGTACTTGGGATCATATGGCACTGCTTGGCCATTAATAAAAGGTTCACCTGCCAAAACAAACAAGAAAGCAAACAAATCATGAATAATAGAATTTTCCTGGTTAACTTAGTTGAAAACAATATAGAAAAGGCTATACAATGTAGAAAAAACACACGCTGTTTAATATTACTATAACTCTCGGTACCTGGACCACAATTCTTGGGAGTACAGAAATTTTGAAATGAAAATTACCATGGATCATTTTTTCGGATGCAATCGACACACGAAACTGGTTAGTTCAAAATTATGATATTTTACATGAAAACTCTGTACACAATATTCACTAGGGTTGCAGAAAGCCTTCAACAGGTTATATTTCACCGGTTCTACACACCACTAGCACTGCTACAACATCAACTGCCTAATAACTTTCATCTGTAACATTCTAGAGCCTCAAACTATCCTTTGTCAGAAAAAATAAAGAAATAAATTTAAAATCAAAATATCATCAGACTGCCAGAGCTATTACGGAATGGGACTTATGACTTAAATGAATCGATTGCTATAAATAATTTGTTTTCTTTGAAATTCAACTTGAAGAAACAAGCATATCCGTACCTCCATAATCTTTGTTCTTAACATCCAAGTAGGAATCAGGAAGTACCCAACGGACTCCAGGCAACTCTGCAACAAGAATTTTACAAATACACACACATGTATAAATATGAGAACCCAGACACAAGAAAATAATAAAATCCCAACTTAGAAGCAGAATCACCTTTGATTTTGAGTGAAACCTCTTCAGATACAAGTGCCCCAAACGCATAATAGCACCTAGTTGAAACTGAGTAGATCTTCATTCTTGCTTCTTCCTCACTGCAGTTCAGCCGAATGCGTACAAGCAATCCAAACTTGGTTATATAAATCTTCATTACAAAATATAAATCATAGGAAACACAAACAATAGGAATACAGTACAATCCTATGTGCTTTTTGAAATGTGAAAGCCATGAATCTTACAAAAACTTTAGTCTGTAAAAAAAAAGTGATCAAGACCATGCTATAAGAAACATGATTAAGACCATACTATTTAAGAGATCATTAAGACCCTGCCACAAAGTGGGGTTATAGTTTAGATTTTGAACATCAAAAGCCTACAAAAAAAGTTAATGAGTTTTGCTTTTGTTAGAACTTCAAAACATAAAACCCAACATTAAGAATTGCACCCCCAAATTTTGGCTGAAATATACAGAAACAAAAGAAATTTAGCAAAACACACACATTTATGTGATATAAAAAAAATAAAGTCAAAAACCCTACAAAAATGATATAAAGGCCAATTGCAATTACAAAATCATTTCCTATCTTACTACAGCTATAGTGATCCCAAATTCAGACCATAACAAAACAGCTGCATACAACAGAAAGCCATTAACTTTTACAGAGCACGGTATCAAGAAAATGTTCATATATTATGTTATACACCATAATCGAGTCGGTGTATAACACAAATAAACTAATATCCTACAACAAGATAAATGCCAGAGAGTAGCATGTGCATACAACCCTCCCCCAATAGAGAAACAACCTTTTGTATTTTCTCAAACAAAAGTTTCCTGGTGCAATACAAATCAACTTAACCCAAAATTCTACTGTGAGCGAAAAAGGGAAAATTAAAAAGCTACAACTTTGAAAAAACATATACAGATAAAAATTGAAAATGAATTAAAGAAACAAATACACTATAAACACAGACATATAAATTCTAAAACTCCATTTCCAATTCTGATTTCTCGTAATCCAAAGACATTAAAAGTAAGAAAAATGATTAAATTAGACAGAAATTAATAGCAGGTGTTACCTTCCGACGACGGTAGCTAGGGTTTTGATGTAGCTATTGATGATCTCATCCCTAGTGATATCACCCTGAGGGGCCTCCATGACAACCAACCAGTGCTCGAAGTCACACCCGTCGAGGAGGATCGTCTCCTTGGGAGGCCGGTTCGACCAGTTAGGGTTCGGGTCCCTGAGCGATGACGTCGTCGATCTGGTCGACAAGCACCGGGCGATCGCAGGGGAGAGCCTGCCGGCGGAGGCCATGACTCCGGCAAGAGGGCGGAGGCGGTGGAGGAGAGAGAGCGAAGAAGAACGAGATTGGGCGGCGGTGGATAGGGAAGTGGCGGAGGTGGCGGTGGAGAGGGAGCGAGAGAGAAATGAAGCCATGGCTTGGGACTTGGGAATCGAGCGAGAGAAGAAATGGGTCGCCATGGTTGATCGCGACCAGGGTTTGGGGCTTTGATAAACCCTAGAGTGAGAGGGGGAGATAAGGGCGGTGTTAGGGTTTTGGCGGAGGTTTTATAGCAGTGACTGAGTGATGATAAATACCCCCTCGATTTTCAATTTATCAGTATATCTCAAAATGGCATGCCAATTATCTTCTCCTTTTTTTATAGTTATTTGTGCTTTTAAATTTTATTTTGTTTTTCTTTTTTTTTTATATTTTTTTTACAAACGACAACTTTATGGAGTAAAATTATTAGTTGTAAGGGAGAGATATCGGTGGGGATTGAAACCGCACTGAGATGCATAGGCATGTTTGCTGTCTATCGTTGCGGTAAAGTGTTATCTGTTTTTCATCTTCTAAATGTGACACGTGTGAAGAAAAAAATTTGAGCATGACAATCTAATCAGTTGGATGACCATGCAATTTTACAAGGGTACAAACTTCTCAATATTTAAGTACAATCTAGCTCCATGTTAATCTTCGAGATTCTTTGTCTTTCTATAGAAGTGATTTAGTAATTTAAAAACATTATTAAAGGCTTTAAGCGATATCTTTTTCTCAGAAAAATATCTTTCGTAAAGACTAATGAAGCACCTCTGACCTGCTTTCTTATGAAATCACTTAAACTAAAAGTGATTCTATTTTCATTTAAAACAATTTAAAATTTTTCTAACTGAAGTGATATTAGTCTTCACATAATCATTATGTTTAACTTCTTACATTCATCTGTTTAATTATGACCATTGATTTCATTTGACATGATTAATCCAATAACTATAAATAAATAAAAAGATGTGTGATGAGCTAAAAATTTCGTGTGAAAATCACTTCCGAACTGTAAGCCTTTTATTTCTTACTTGGGCTAAAGCCCATAATCAAGATGGGCTTGGCTGCGTTTGGCACACTCAATATCAATTAGATTTAATTGACTAATTGGTCAAATACAGTAAAATTCCCACCAAACTGGCATGATATATGGTGATGAGTTAGAGTGCGGCAGATAGTGAAATTCCCACCAACATCAACCCTACACAGTCAATATTCTGCTCACCTGAATGAACTTCCCAACCCAAGTCACGTGATGTATTATTTTATATGTTGTAATAAGCGTGAATGACGAATCAACTAGTTATCATTTAAGTAAAATAGTAATGTTACGTGACTGTGTTCCAAATACATGGAAAAGTTACGTCAAAATTTATGTTTGCCAACAAGAAAACTAGTTAGGGACAATATCAAAGGTTTGGCTTCTCCTCTACGTACCCTAACTTGTACAGCAAACACACAGTTTGGTGTGTTAGCTCATCTCCTCTATTTCATACACACTATCCCACAGATATCTCATTTTCTCTCTCACTTCCACTCCTCACCGCAATATGGAGTTGCCCGTGAAAATGCCGGTTTCCGGCAGCCATATAACACCATACAGAATTGAAACCAGAAACTTGTGCTACAAACTATCGACCCGATTTGATGAAATGAAGCACCTGTGTTGCAGTGACAGTTCGAGGACTGTTCCGAAGTTCATCTTGAAGGATGTGAGTTGTGAAGCAAGGCCTGCAGAGATCACTGCAATTGTTGGCCCTAGTGGGGCTGGAAAAACCACACTGCTAGATATTCTTGCTGGGAACATATCCCCAGCGAAAGTGGGTGGTCAGGTGCTGGTGAATGATCAGCCTATGGACACGAAAAGCTTCCGCAGAATGTCGGGCTATGTCACACAGGATGATGCCCTATTTCCGTTGCTTACAGTTGAAGAAACGCTCATGTACAGTGCTCTGTTGAGGCTTCCTGGTGGGAGAAAAGAGGCTGCAGATAAAGTGAGGAAGCTGATGAAGGAGCTCGGGCTGGAACATGTCGCGGGTTCAAGAATCGGTTGGGGATCAAACAATGGGATTTCAGGTGGTGAAAGGCGCAGGGTTTCGATTGGAGTTGATTTAGTTCATGATCCAGCTGTGGTTTTGATTGATGAACCAACTTCAGGGTTGGATTCTGCCTCAGCTTTCCATGTAGTCTCATTGCTCAAAACAATGGTGTTCAATCAGGGTAAAACTATCGTTCTGACCATTCACCAACCAGGTTTTCGAATCCTAGAGATGTTCGATCGCGTTGTTTTGCTTTCGAATGGAGCTGTCATGCACAATGGATCACTACATCTTCTCAAACAAAGGCTCAATTTTGCTGGCCATCGTATCCCCAACCATGTCAACTTGCTCGAATTCGCCATTGATGTTATCGAGAGCTTGGAGGGTACACAAACTTCAGAAGCCTTGCACAACCAATGTTTCAGGCCTCTAGAACAAAGGTTTGTGTGCTCCAATAACTTGCAAAAGAAGCTTCTGGTCTACCCAAATTCTCGTCCCCGGGAAGTTGTTATACTAGGGCAAAGGTTTTGTAGCAACATATTTAGAACCAAGCAATTGTTTGTCACAAGAGTCATACAAGCCTTGGTAGCTGGATTCGTACTCGGAAGCATTTTCTTTAACGTTGGAAGGGAAAAAGGGAACATTTCCCTGCAAACACAAACTGGATTTTTCGCCTTCAGCCTCACTTTCTTGCTGTCTTCCACCACAGAAGGCCTACCAATTTTCTTACAAGAGCGAAGAATACTAATGAGTGAGACTTCCAGGGGAGCCTATAGGGTTTCCTCCTATGTCATAGCAAACACCCTCATTTTTCTCCCCTTCCTTTTGATGGTCTGTTTTTTGTTCACAGCACCGGTTTACTGGCTGGTCGGATTGAGGAGGGACATTGATGGATTCCTCTACTTCTCTTTCGTGGTCTGGATGGTTCTTCTGATGTCCAATTCTGTTGTGGCCTGCTTCAGTGCTCTCGTGCCGAACTTCATCATGGGGAGTTCCTTGATTTCCGGGCTCATGGGAGCTTTCTTTCTCTTTTCGGGCTACTTCATTTCGAAGGACAGACTTCCACGATACTGGATATTCATGCACTACTTGAGTCTTTTCAAGTACCCGTTCGAGTGCTTTATGATAAATGAGTATGGAGGGGAGCAGGGAAGGAGATGCATTCAACAGATTGACAAAGAAGGATGCAATCTTTTCGGGGACGGATTCTTGAGACAGCAGGGTTTGAAAGAAGCACAGAAATGGAGCAATTTAGGTGTGATGCTGGGTTTCGTAATTGGTTATAGAGTGCTTTGCTTTCTCATTCTGTGGTGCAGATGCTGCAGAAATAGAAACTAGCTAGCTATATATACTTACACAAAAGATAAACAATCACTTGTGCTGTTTCTCTTTCATATTCTTTCGAATAATTCTTTTAGAATGATCAAACTATTGTATCGTCTTCGCACGAAAGCTTTCATCAAATATTAACCATAACATCCAGTTTCGATTTGATTGATGTTTCGAGTTTTCGCATGCATTTGAAACATGTTGATTCACACCGTGTCCACTCCGAAAGTTCTACTTTTGATCCCGTTTCAATGTTCATGGATAGTACATTATCCAGAAAAATAGTTCTTGCACAAACAGATGCTGCCATGAGAGGGAGAAGGCTTTTGCGAGGATGTTTCTGCTGCCGGAGAGGACAGAAGGCTAGAACAGCCCGGTTAAAAAATGACGTGTGTTTAATTAGACAACCAGTTTTTATTTCTTGATCACAGTTCGTTCCATATGATTCATTGAAAAATTAGTAAATAATGTGGATTTTGCCTACGACAATTCGAAAGAAACTGTTTTGGGACGACAGTGGGGCACTGCCGACACAATACCTGGACTCGAAGAAGGGACGAAAGAATTGTATATATAGTCGAGCTTTATTTACACACCCAAAAAAACTGAAATTTGATTGACTATAAACATTTACACCTGAAAAGTGATATGGCTAGTTCTTTGGAAGACATTCGTGGAAACAGCTTCTTTGCAAAGTAAGGGTAAGGTTGTGGTTGTGTACGATAGACGTTTCACTCCGACCCTCGCAAAGCGGGGAGCCTTTGTTGGCTTGAGGTCGCTCTTTTACTTGTTTCCCTAGACAACCTAGAAGAATTATTATGCCTACAGCCTGACCAAACCAGAGGGAATATGAAAACTGGATTCTGCCTGCCCTAATTGCTTCGGTCATATATAGAATTGAAGGTCATAGTAGCAAATGAAGTGGTGGCAGTTTCTGATGAAGATGATGAATTCATAAACCTCCCTGAGGCGGATATCGTGTAAGATGGATTTTTTGCTTTGGCCTTTTCTCTGTCGCATTCTCTTTGCTCCATAAATTCAGAAAGCAGTCCTGGTTTGGATATCTGCCCCTCATTCACATCTAATGCACCCGTCAGCATTTGAACAACGGTAGACATGGATGGTCGGAGCTTGGGCATGTCTTGAATGCAGAGAAGGCCAATCTTTAGGAATCTGCAAGCCTCCTCAACGTCAAAATTTCCATTCAATGAAGCGTCTACCAACTCCACCAGCTGCTCCTTCTGATGATGTTCCCATGCCTGCAGCAGGAACTTGGATTTGGTTAGTCTGCTCAAGATTCTAGTAGTAATTGCAAAGTTATTATTCAATACATGTTCCAACAAGAGATGATGACTAGCTGGGGCATGTAGCTATCTAAAACAAGAAAAGCAGAAGTTTAGAGGAAAAATATTAGCCCTGTTTGAAAATAAATGCGAAGTTGCAAGGAATACGCATTTGATTCCCATCCTATAAACTAGCACTTCAAGCATTCACTTGATCAAGAATTTGTATGGCAGGTTCATCAAGGTTCATCACCCCCGCGCATGTTAATGTTATAAATCTTTTATCAGTTATTTAGCGTTACTCTAGTATATAGAACAAGGAAAAGTTATAAACCAGTCCAAAAGCTTTCAATTTAGTCATGGAATGCAATATTACAGAAAGGTCCATACCAGTGCAAGAAGATATTGTTCTTTGGGTGGTAAATGTCTGTTTGTGTTACACCTCCCACATACAATTTCCAACAGTAAAACGCCAAAACTGTAGATGTCTGATTTCCTTGTCACTTGACCTCGTATCGCATACTCAGGCGCCAAGTAGCCTCTGCAGAAATCAAACAGGGAACCATACATGTCAATATGATTACAAGTAATTTGATAAATGTAAAAAAGAGAACGTAGAGAGAGAGGGGGAGAGAGAAGTGAAAATTTATGGGCGGGACATCAATTAGTTATATTCTCGGATAAACTTACTGAAAGAGACTAGCACTGGAAATGGCAAACTTACGTTGTTCCAGCAACACGAGTGCTAAGATGGGTCAAGTTCGGTGCGATAAACTTTGCAAGACCAAAATCTGAAATTTTTGGTGAGAGGTCTTTATCAAGGAGAATATTGCTTGCTTTAATGTCTCTGTGAATAATATGAGGGCTAACCTCCTCATGGAGATAAGTGAGCCCCCTTGCAACACCAATGCAAATTTTACACCTTGTAGGCCAAGTAAATTGGATACCGCTGTAGCCTCTACCTATAAAGTACAGAAGGATTAGGTCCTTACCAATACAAAATCATTCATTCAAATAAGGAACAAGTGACATTGCTTACCCAGAAGTGTTTGTGCTAGGCTATTATTCTCGAGATAGCCATAAACCAATATTCTGTGATCTCCTTCTGCACAGCAACCATATAGCTTAACTAGGCTATCGTGTTCAATGGTTGCAATCACCTCGATTTCTGTCAAAAATTCCCTCGACCCTTGACTAGACTCTGCTGACAATACTTTTATAGCCGCCAAAGTGCCATCCCTTAGTGTTCCCTGATCAAACACATTTTGAAATAATTTCTTAGCCCGTAGAGGTAAAAGTAAACAAAAAAGTCTTTAGCACAATTAAGTACTCAAGACCGAGTATTCCTCAAAACTCATAAGCAAATAACTTTAGGAGCAATTACCTTGTACACGGAGCCAAAGCCTCCCTGACCAATTTTATTTTCTTTACTGAAGTTCTCAGTGGCAATTTGCAGTTCCATGTAAGTGTACTGTTTGACATTCAAAACGCCTGAAACCACTGTACCCACAGGAATCTATTAGACTCTTTTTGGTAGATGAAGATAGAATGGTAAACCTCTCAAAGAAGTTAGGTCCCTTTTTGTTCAAAAAGATGACAACCAAATTCAAGTTAAAGCTAAGACTTACTAACAGTGTTTAGTTCAACAGCAGGTAAGTTGAACAAAGTAAACAAAAGAAGATTTCATCCAAAAAAATATTGAGTACGTAATAAATAGCAAAATCAAGTAAAACATAAGTAGCTGATTTAGCATGACCATTTGACTTCGTAAAAAGGCCAGGTTCCAAGTTCTGAAAGAAGCCTGGTCATCCATAAAAAGAATGATTATCTGAATGGAAGCAACTTGGTAGTTTGGGCTTTAAGTAGTCGCAGACTTAAAACAGGTTCATAAATCAGTAACACTAATGAAATTAAAGCACTTAACATAGAAAATGCTCCTCCCATTTGAAGATCCATGAATGAACTAGAAAAGTCCTCCACTCATTTCACAATTGCACTGAGCAGCTAATTTGACAGATGGCATTGTGCCTAAGTAACTAATACTGACACTGAAAGTATGTGCATAATCTCTATAAATTGAACGACAGAATAAACACATGCACAGTCTACCTTCATCGATTTCAACAGGCTGCTTAACAAGGGAAGCTTCCTTCTTTTTAAACAAGCAAGAGAAACAAGACATCACCAGCTTTTTATGTTGGCCAATATCACCAATCAATCAAAATCCTTGCCCTGTCAAAGTACACAAGTAAACATAAACTTTTTGTGATATAACTACAACTGCATGATCTGTAAGATTTAGGAGGAACACAGATGAGCAATCAGGAAAGCATTAGTCATTATTCGCTTAGATAAGAAGAAACTCTAAAAAAAAGTGAAACTTATGAACTCGAATTGCAAATCAAGGTGACTTCTTTAATCTACATGTACTATCTAGCAACTGGTATAGATGACCCGCAGCATTGTCAATCATTGCCTGAACTATGATTAAAGATGCTTGCATATGCGCTAGCCACGTGCTTACCAAAACTCACTGTAATTTCAGTAGCAAAGTTTTGAGTAGTTGCTTTATAGCTTTTACAGCCTACGTATCGGAAAAATCCAGAAGGGACTTTTCGAAAAAGGAAATCTCTTCAAAAAAATAACCAGTAAAAGGAAGTTTGCACATCCTCCGTCCCACATGATAAGTTTTAACTATAGCCTACACCAGTTTTCTATGAAACATTCAATGCTCCTTACTTAAGGCATCAAAAGACAAAACAAAATAAAAATCCTACCCATCTGAACTGCCAGAAGTTAAGGGGAAACACTAGAGAGATACCCCGACACAGTAAGGTCTGGGACTGCACCGAGTAATGCCATAGACTCTTATGCCCTATAAGATCAATCAGAAGTTCAGTTCTCTAGCCTGAGTCGTTCAGTTGAATCGATTATCAATAATTAGACCAACTACTAAAGTAATTCAAGGAAAATGGACCAAACTCCGCATTAACACGAAACTTCCTGCATCCCTCAGTACTTTAGGCCTAAAATCGGAATTCGATAATCAAATGCTACAATGCAGCACATGGCAGATTAGCAACTAGTAGAGGCTAGAATTAGAAACATGGTTTCATGATTGGAATTTGGAAATAAAGTATTTGTCAGCCAAGGAAATGTGATTGTGTAGTCAACTATCCTTCTAATTGTCATTGCACTCAATTATAAGACAGACAAAACAGAAGACATCTATAGTTTTGACCAACTTTCAAAAAAAAAAAGTCAATCTAGGAGGCACCAAAATTGAAATTGCAGAAGAAGAAGAATTTGCTTCAGCATAATTACCTTACAAATTTGCAATCCAATTGCACTTGGGTTTTGCTTATATTTCAACCTTGAAGTATCCCTCTGCAGAACCGAAACTAAAACCAACGTAATATAAGTATTTGGATTGGTCAAAATATGATATTTCCATATTTTTTTCAGAAGCATAGCAACTGTAAAAGAGAAACCCACCATTCTTTTGGGTTGAAGAACCCAGCTGAGGCCACAAACAGATCCAAAAGTCTATATTTCTTCTCGTTCTCTCCAATGGGTAAATCAGAAAGTAAAAAAGTCTTGGCCTTCCTCACATTTTCTCAGCTACCAAACACAAAAGTACATGTAAAACCCAGATAAAATGCAAGGTTTTCATGTCAACTGTGGTGACGCAACAGAAATGAAGAGAGAGATGGGCAAAATAAATTTATGAAATTAGAGGCTAAATTTTGACCATATATGATAAATTCTCGTTGTAATGTTTGGAATTGACTATTCTCTCATTTGGCATTGACTTGCAGGCACACGGTTTGGAAATGGTACGGAATTTTCTTTTTCCTAATTTTTGTGTTTTGCTTTCACAAGAATGCTTGAAATCGTTTCCAACTTTTTAAATATAATAAACAAGTTGTACTTAAAAATTAAAATCTTGTTCGACTCTTAAAGGTATTGTTTTTCTATTTAGACTATTTTACACAATGATATTATAGTTAAGTCATACGAATACGAACTACGATAAGTAGTTGAGTGGAAATGTGCAAACATAAGTTTTGTGAAAGAAAAAACGGAAGGTCTTGGATTCTACTTCGTAAGATGTGAATATGCTTAATCGTGACAACGGATAGGGGGCAATTCCCAACTAATTTCCTTTGGATCTGAAAATGGTGGATAATCGTGGTTTCCCGCCAGTTGTCTCCTTTTAAAAGAGGAAACAAATGTAGGCTATAGTAAATTTATCATGTGAAATCTCATTAAGTGACACCTGATTAACCATTGAAGTTTTTTTTATTTTTAATTTTTTGTGAAAATTAACCGTTGAAGTTAAAATACCTCAATTAGTCCTATTGTAGGTGTGATCACCAACTAACTCTCATGCAAACACACGTTGAAATTATACTATAAGACATGAATTGTCGTTAAGTGACACATGAATAACCTGTTATAAAATTCGATTATTTACATATAAGGAGTTATAGAATTATTTAACCGTACACCCAAACAGTTCATTCTTTTTATCATCATCTATATTTTATTATAAAAATTGTATTTAATTTGAAAACATGACTATGCTTGTAAGTAATATTCTAAAAAAATGCAATGGTAAAAACTAAAAAGTCATCAGAAAATTTGACAAAAACTCATGCAGGTGATTGATTAATCATTGTAAACTGAAAGGAGACAAAAAACAATTGGATCTTTTTTGACCCAAAAATAGTTTCGTGACAGAGAGGCGCCAACTTGATCTAATTTATTAGTTTCTTGGCAGAGGGACCCTGAATGAAGAGTGCCTAATACAAATTACAATAAGTAAGGCTCTAAAAACGCTAAGTCCTAGTTGAACGGTGGGGCTTAGGTAGTTTTTTAATTTAATTAAATTTATTGTATAGAATATAAGTAAATGTTTATTTATAGTTATAAAATATATAATTGTATTGAGATATATAAATTGCAAAATAAAATGAGATATAAATTAAAAAGTATTAGAACATATTGAAAACATGGGAAACAAGAATGATCATGGTATTCAACGAGTTTCTTATAATTTATTGAAAAAATAAAATACAAAATAAAAGTTATCTCTTTTCTGTCTAAGCGAGAGTTGTGATTTATACAGGCGCATAAGCAGGTTTAGACACTATTTCTTAAAGTTGTAATGTTTAGGGATTAATCAAGAATGTGACCAACCGTCTAGTGCCTAGACAGGATCTAGACGGCGCTAGGTGGGGAATTTGAGAACAATGACAATAAGCAAGCTCAATAAAAATTGAGGATAGCCAAAAACTCAATCAGGAGAAATATAAGAGATGAAATACAAATTAAAGATCTACAGGATAGAGATCTAGTTTGTCTAAGACAAGAGATAATGATAAACACCAAGGAATCGGCATACAACTTCAGAAATATGATGAAGAACGCCGAGAAAACAAAGCTAAGCTACTAAAAAGGAGGAGCAGATAAAAAAACAAGAACTAAATGGGGGATTGCCAACTCCCAACCAAAGGAAGGGGTCGGCGACGAGATCGAATATGTGCGTGAGGGAGTATGATTTTTTTTTCTCATATTACCATTCTTTTTCATCTCCTCCTCTCACACTCTTTTTTTTGTTTTATTCTTTATATAAAAAATTTCAAAACAAGATGTAAACGTGACGTAATATCAACCATTTAAATATGAGAAGATAAAAAAAGAAAAAATTAAGAAGGGAGAGAATCCTACTCCAAGCGAGAGAGTAGACAGGAGCGATTATAGTAAACAATATCCAATAAAATTAAACTGAACTTTTTTTTAGTCGGATAATTGAACTAAGAGATATTAAAATGACAATCTATAGTATTTTAAATGTTTCACCATTTTGCTACTTTCACTTTATATATAAAGAAGAGATGTTAGCCGCCACCAAAATCGTCATCTGAAATTTCGAAACATCTTTCGAAAACGAAGACTTTTTACCACTTTGTACAAAAAACAATTAGGAAAAGTGGTTTTCCCACATATCCCAAATGTCGTTGAGGGCTCCTAACTTGTTAATTTAAAAAGAGGACATGTTTAATCTAGAAAATATGAATTTTCTCTACCAGTTAATCACGTGTGAACAGTTTTAAACTTCAACTAGCTAGCCACCAATGGTAGCCAACCGTGGGTAACACCATGACATATTCTTTGTTTACATTATTAAAGTAAGGGGTGTGCTATCCACACATCCATTTTTACTTCTTCCACACCCCTAGTTAATTTATGTCTGTTGATCTTCTTCAATTCATCCGATCCGACGGCTAAAAATTAAAAATGTGTGAGAGAAGTAAAAAGGGGTGTGTGGATATCACACCCCTAAAGTAATTGGGTAACATTCTCTGACTAAATAATTTATACGTCTGGTTGTTAAATTATTTGAGTAATTAATTGCGTAATATGATTGAGGTATCATAACAAAACATGTCAAACTGTTAAATCAAATTATACTTATAATCACTAGCTATTAATCTAGTCAGAGCCGGCATTGAATGAGCGCAAGTGGTGCCACCGCACAGGCTCCAAAATTAGAACGGCGGCCCCCATTTTTCATTTTTGCATGCATATATGTCTATATACCTCTATTAATTACTGAAACCCTCTTTATCAACCAAAAGAGGGTGAAAAGATAAATTAGTCTTCTATCACAAAAAAAAAATAATAGGCAATAAAGTAATTTCACAGGTTCAAATTTTAATGTTTTTTATTGAAACCTCACCTACATGTAATGTTAAAATACCTCTAACATTTATAAAAAAACAAAAAATCAAAAACCAAAAACCAAAAACAAAAACCTCCAACTCCCCATGTTCTCTTTCTTTTCCCTCTCTCCTTCTCTCTCATTCTCATTTTCTAAAAAAAATGTTCACACACACAAAGTGTATAAGCAAATGCTAGTATATATATATATAGGGGTATGTTATCCACACACCTCATTTTACTTCTCACACACCCCTTGATAATTTCTGTCCGTTGATCTTCTTCAATTCATCTGATCCGACGGTCGAAAATTAAAAAGGTGTGTGAGAAGTAAAATGGGGTGTGTGGATATCACACCCCTATATATATAGATATCTATATCTATATCTATATATATCTATATTTAAATGTGTAGATAGTTTACAAAATGAGTTGTTAGCGTGTCTTGTCCTTATGCTACTTTATATCCTCCTAGAAGTTGTTTTGAAACCTGCCTTTATTTCATATTTTTTTACTTCTTTGTAACTAAATGCATGAATTTTCCCTAAAAAATAACGCAAAAATTCGAGCCATGAACCTCTTAAAATTAATGGAAAACACCAATACACCGTACCATCAATTGTTTTGATAAAATTGTTTTTCCTATAAAATTTATAGAAAATGCAACTGAAAAAAAAAATTACGATCTCAACTTTATTTTGACTTTTCGATTTACTTACGCACAAGACCAGCCCTGAGTCTAATAATATGTCATCGTCAAATTACCGATAATGCTTAGTTAGTTGTTAAAACTTAAACATCAAGTTCTTTTCATGGGTTTTTCAATTTATATATTATATTATCCTTTTTTTGAGAAGATTTATTTTTGTCAAGTCCATTTTTGAGAAGATGACCCTTAGCAGACACTTTCTTTGATAATTCAACGCAAAACACCTCACACATCAATGTTTCTTTTTCTTTTTTCTTTTTTCTTTTTTTTTTTTGTTAACATCAATGTTCCTCGATTGTTTTATTCTGTCTGTTAGGAGATTGGAAGTTAGCGTTTGTAATTTAGTTCCACAATTTCCAACAAAATAAATTTACTTCTCCACATTTTCCGGCTCTCAAAAAGATGAACTACTAATCCTTTTTTTTTTTTTTTTTAAAAGAACCAGTTTGATTATCATGTCGTTTTTTGTTTTTAATTTTGTATAAGACACATAGAAGAAATGAAACAAAATAGTTATCAAACGGAAAATACGTAGGTCTGCCTACATCAACTATGATACAACAAAACTACAGATGGAACTCTTGTTTTTGGTTCTAACAGACTGGTGAGTACAAAACTACAGATGAACTATTTTTTTGGGTTCTAACAGAGACTGTTCAGTACAAAACTACAGATGAACAATATCATGCCAGTTCTCTACACATTTATTTATACACAAACTCCGTAAAGCACAAAGGATTCACACTCAGATATGAATCCAGCTTTCTATACCAGAACATGAGCTCTAAGGATGAACGAAAAGAAGGACTTTCGCGAGCTCTATTGCTTTCTTGCGGCCAAGAAACTTCTCAACAATTCCAAAAGCGAACTCCATTGAAGTTCCTGGTCCTCTACTGGTGATGAGGTTGCCGTCAACCACTACCCTGTTCTCGATTTCACTTTTATCTGACAGCTTGTCGCACATTGCGGGGAACGCTGTCGCCTTTTTGCCCTGGATCAAAGAACAAAGCTCACTAACTGGTTGCAGCAACATCAAAAATTTAAAGAGCAAGCACTAAAGTGGAAAATGCATATAAAAAGTTGATATTTTAAAACGTTTCTAAAATGCAGTGATGTACGCATATCAGATTTGAATGTAAATAAGTTCCTGAACGAGTTTGAACGATGCAAGAAGAAGAAAGGTTCAGTGAAATGATTATAATTTTAGGTCCAGTTAGTACACTACTCAATTACAAGACGTGCAGCCAGAATTGGGCCAACGTTAATGGAATTGCACAAAATTGTACATGCGATTATTAGGTTGTTCAACGTTGAAAGCATACCTTGAGTAGGGCATGGGGTTCCAAAACTAGAGCTGGGGAGGCACATATTGCTCCATAAGGTCTCTGTGATACCCTCTGCTTTTTTAACAAATTCATGAGCTTTTCCGATTTTGCAAATGCTTGGGCACCACCAAGTCCACCCTGATTAAAAAAATACGAATATTGTTTGACAAATCAATAGGGTAAAGAGAAACTGTTAAACAGTAGAAAGCTGGAAACCCAACTTACAGGCAAGACAATCAGGTCATACGAAAGTTTGGTAGCTTCATCGAGGGACATATCTGCCTCCAGTTTAACTTTGCGGGAAGCAATAATTTCTAGTTTATCCTCTACAGAGGCCACCACAACATCTGCTTTGGCCCATCGTAGAATATCAATGATTATAATAGCTTCCATTTCCTCTGTGCCATTCGCAATAGGTACAAGAATCTAAAGGATAACAAAGACAAAAGAAGTTTTAACTTACAAAGCACGTTACACCTTAAACAATTGTTGAAATTTGAAAGGATCCTAGAGATATTTGCAAATGTAAATCACCACCAAGTAAAGCACTCCAGTATAGCCACTTTTTTAGGTTGCTTACAACAAGATTTGAACTTGAATTTACACTTCCTACCCTATCTGAATGCAACTTGAGCTAAAGCCCAATAAAGTAGACAAAGAAATCCACACACAACAGTGTTCTCAACCAAACTTTTAAACCAAATTTGCAAACCAAATGATGTGTCACCAATAGGAAATAAGCACATTAATCAACACTTGAGCAATAATCCAATCAATAACCACATCATTTGGTTTAAAAATTTGGTTTAAAAATTTGGTCTCCCTAGCCTTATGTATAAAGTAAAGTAACAGCATGCAATGTACAATAAAATCGATAGACTATAAAAAATTCACCTTAGGGGAATCACTGGCAGTCCACTCAACTGGGTTTAGCTCGGTTATGACATATTCATCCCCATGGTTGGAACGCATCACCTGAGTACAAAAACACTGTTACAGATCCACCACAAACAAAACCGAAACAGCATTCTAAACTGCAGAGTCTATGGCTTCAGCCACTTGGGGAGTTAATCAAGGGTAGCAGGTGAAGGCAGATAACAACAGAATCATATTTGTTTTAATTTTCCCAGACAATGAATAGCTTTGAAGTTGGTAGACAAGAAAGCCACCCGCAGAATGACACCACCAAAAGCTAGCAATAACCACCTCCACCCAATCAATGACAAGGTAGACCTTTAAAAATACAAGCTGTGTAAAAGCAGCAGTTCAAGCATACATGTTACTGGATCGAGCTTATTTTATATATAAGGAAGAAGCTAAGCTCAAAAAGGTTCATCTAGATAGATATTTAAAGCCCACAAGTATAACAAAGTAGCCACCTGTTCAGCTAAGTACTCACAATATCATCTACAGAATACTCTATCCTAAGTTTTCTTATATACGAACCTCAAATGGTTTTATTTTCCTTTTTGTCAAATATATTAGCGAAAATATAAATTTCATCCTCTGGGGTCTTTACCATCTTTTCTCAATTCAATTAAAAATATCAGTTTATTCAATCCACACATTTCTAGACTATGGTAAATTCCAATGAATCTCCATATCTCATCGTTTCCCTTAATCTTTGTCTCAATTGTACTAAATCTGCAATGATTAGAGTGCCCAAGGGAAATTATCATCAAACCTTTTTTCTTATATTCTATGCATCCATTTTTTTCCCTTTTAATTGGGGTGAGGGATTGAAGAATAACACAACCAATCAAAACAAAGAACATTGAGAAAGTATATACCAGTGGCCCAGAAACTTCATCAGCTTTTTCTTTCCCATACAATTGCTCGACCAGTGCAACAGCAAACTCCATGGTAGTACCAAGTCCACTACTTGTCACAACTTTGCCATCCACCTGCACTCTTGATTCAACAGCGGTTGCACCAGATGCTAATTGCTCCATAAAAGGTGGATAACAAGTTGCCTGTTAAAAACCAATAGAGCCCACAAGTTCAGAGTTAGTCATCAAAAATGACAAAAAACACTAATTAAAATTTTATAATTAATGAAACATTGGAGGTTCTTAGAGATCTTACTTTCAGTCCCTTCAACACGCCCCATGACGCAAGTGCCACTGCAGGTGAAGCACAGATTGCGGCGTACAGCTTCCCATCTGCAGCCTGCTTCTTCACCAAGCTTTCCAGAACCTCACTATTCTTAAGATTAGCGGCACCAGGGATGCCACCCTACAGCATAAAAACAGATATAATAAAATTCAAGTGTACCTAAAAAGAAGTAGTACAATGCAACGAGAAAACATTAAAGCAGAATCGGAGAAGCCGGTGAGAGCATGATACACACAACGATGGATATAATCCTTATTCCACCCCATACAATACGGATTACATCAGCAGTTCAGCTTCGTTTGGACATTACTTGGAAATTAAGTAGTGGCATTAGGCAACACATTAATTTGGGCGTGACGGACCAAAATCCCACACTCAAAGAAGCTAAACACATCTGCTTCAAGCAAAAAATTCTTCAGGTAAATCGAAACAAACTGAAAGTTTAAGTGATATTAGCCAAGTTTGAAAATTGAAGTAATATGAGCCAAGTTTTACACTTTCCATTCGATTTTATCAGCACTTTCAGAAACAAACAAAAGTAGCCACATTTCAAATTTCTAATACACAAATAGTAACAGAAGCATACATATGCATATACTGTAAATATACATATACATATACAAATACGAAGAGAGAGAGAGTGTACGGGTAGAGCGATGAGATCGAAGACAGTTTGGCTACAATCCGAAATCAAAGCATCAGCGACGATCTTAACGCCGTGGTAACCATCAACCCGAAGCTGCTTCTCCACAGAAGCCACAGTAACATCGGCCCCAGCTCGCCGCAGAACATCGACGGTGATCACCGCCTCAATCGGCTCCGTGCCGTTCGCAATCGGAACCAAAACCTGCGTCCACAGTCAAAATCTCACTCACAAGCAAACACAATCATCGAATTAAAAAAAAAAAAAAAGAAGAAGATGAGCTGATTAGCGTGGTGATCAGTGAGCTGTGATTAGTGAGGTGATTAGTGGATGATTGTGATCACCTTCTTAGCAGGAGAATCGGAAGCCATAGCTCCAGAGACGGAGGAGGAGGAGAAGAAGCACTTTCAGAGGAGGGACTGCTGGTTTGAGTCTGGAAATAGAAAAGAGGAGAGTGGGGCAAGAGAAATGGAGATATTTTCCGGTATACTGTCATTATAGTGAAATATGTTTATTAAAATGGATTTTATATTAGTATTCTACGAAATGTTGAATGGACTCCATATTAAAATTTAATATTAAATAACTTATTTATTCTACTATACAATCACACTTTTAACCTTATTAGGTTAAAAAATTATATATACATCCCAAATCACTTTTAACGTATTATTTATCTTCTTCAACTATCAAACACCCTCCGACCCTCAATTGTTAAACAAAACTCTAACCAATGAAACTACAAACATATTGATTAAGACAATTTATTTTTGACGAATGAAACACGAAATCAATATTTCAGAAGCTTTACATAAGGTAAGACTTCATATTATTTATTGTTTTAGTGATTTGACGACATCGATAATTATTTAATTTTACTTTTAATGCGTTATTCAAGCTTCTATGTTCGTATTCATCTTTTAGGGATCACAGGGATTACATGAAGAATTAAACACCTAAAATTATCACCAAATATTAAAAATAGACGACATGGGTTTTAATGGTGGAATTGAAAACAACCCACATATGCTTTAAATCCCAGATGGTATCTTTTGTCAAAATTTTAGTCGGCATTATTTGTCCAAATTAAAAGCTTTATAAGATTAGAGAAATGTGGGGTGTATAGAAAATATGGGGTACATATAAAAAATGTCGGGTGTATATTAAGAATGTGGGGTGTGAGGGTATTATAGAGAAGGGTTAGGCCATCTCCAATCGATGGCTAGTTAGATGGCTTATTTTAGCCCTTTGGCCCTCCAAGATCCTCAAAGATATTAATATTTTAATAAACAGTATAGTGTCATATTTGCCTATGTCTCCAACCAAGGGTCAAAAGCCAGATGACTCGTTTTAGCCCTGTCACAAAAAACCGTCTCCAACCGAGGGCCAAAGGGTCAAACATAATTTATTATTTAAAAATTACAATTTAAATGTTGTTAAATGTTTTTTATTTATGTTGTATAATTTTTATGTTGGTTAATGTTATTTAATGTTGTTTCATATTGTTTAATGTTGTTTTATGTTACTTAATTTAATTTAATATTGTATAATGACTTGGGACATTATAGGAAAAAAAATAGAATTAAAAAAAAATACGAAACAAATTTTGTGAAATAGAAGTTATAAGAAAAAAAATAGAATTTAAAATAAAAGGAAACAAATTTTGTGAAATATAAATTATAGGAAAAAATAAAATTAAAAAAAATGAAACAAATTTTGTAAAATAAAAGTTATAGGAAAAAAATATGAAAAATAGAAGTTATAGGAAAAATTTTGTAAATAAAAAATAATAATAAAACTGTAAAAAAAAAATTCAAAGCATTCATGTCTGTTATAACCAATAGGAAATCCGACACATTTAAAAAAAATATGGCTAGCCCTCTTCGATTATGTGGGGCCCTATCAGATTCCACAGCCCTCTGGTCTGACCCTCAGTTGGAGACGGTTTTTGGGCTATTTTCGACCCTCTGGTTGTGAAACCCCATTACTGGATTTCACTGTTATAATCTACGTATTTGTACTATTGAAATTTTATATTAATTTCCTTGAGAATTTATTTTAAATTGTTTAGATTTAGATCTTAATTAAACTAGTTACGAAGAGTGAATTTTGGAAAATAATTATTTAAAATTTGTTGACCTTTTAAGGTCACAAGGAACATTTTCGAATAGGTCTCGAAGCTACGAGTGGATAAGCGAAAGCCGTTTGCGAGTCCAAGTTATAACGGTATAGTTACGAACGTTTGAAGTTGTGAACTATAGATTGTGAGAACTATTTAATTCCCATATGTGAGTTAAAGGTTAAGTGAGTTTAATTTAAGAGTGAGGGACCAATTAGAAAGGGAGAGTTTTTCAGAAAAATGAAGGAGTGGTCTGATTTTGACCCGTTTTTTACCCTTTAACCCACAAACTTGACCCGCTTGTATCTTCTTCATCCGATCTCCGTTTTGGGTGATCTTGGTGTCCATGGAAAGCTCTTGGTGAGCTCTACATCTCTGTATTTTTAGATTTCCCATTTTCTTATCCAGTTTTCCAGTTCGAGGCGCAAAGTCCCGTGGGTTTTCCAGCGATTTTGTCATTTTTCCGGTGATTCCGTCAACCATTTCCTCGAGTGAGGTATGAAACTTCATCTACTCTTCATAATCTCTAAGTTGGTATGTTTGGTTTGTGCTTTCGTATTCGTTTTAGAGTTGGGTGTTTAGAACCCTAGAAACCCGCTTTTCCCCGATAAATTTGGATGGTTTTCGGTTAGAATTTGTTGTTGGCCTAGTTGTGAATAATGTTTCCCTTGTTGAGATCTTCATTCTTATAAAATTTGAGAATTTTTGGAAAAAAAATCAAATTTTCCAATGTGTGGCATTCGATTTATAAAATGATGTTGGTTGGGTATATTTAGATAGGTCCACCACTTGGATATTTTAACAATTGACGATACTTTAAATTCTTATATTTATATCATTTGTGAATATGGCTTGGTGTTATAAATGTGATTTCTATTGAAATGTGATTTTATATATTTAGCCGTAGACATATGTTTATTAACATGATTTGGCTTGTGTACTGATGATGGTTGTGATATATGTAAGTTTAATTATCTTTTTAGTAATGTGAATGATGAGTATGATTATTTTTATGACAATGTGATCCTAGAATCCTATTAGAAGTATGTTGTAGCACTTATATACTAGAGCGACATATTAGTGATGGCCTTGAGAAGTTGATGGTGTAGATGGCTACGTTGTAACTCATAGGGGTTGAGATGTGGTTAACTAGTATGATGTATGTGTGTTGATCTAACTGCCCCATGTAGCAAAGGTAAATAGATGATCTTGCTTGGTATATCCGCGATGGGGGATCATATGAATTCAGGGGTGATTATGCTTGGTTTATCTGCGATGGATGATCACTGCCTGCACAAAGATATTATGCCTATGGTTCTGCTTGGTATATCCGCGATTGGGGACCATACGCATTTTAGAGAGGATGATGATTAGTTGTGCTTGGTACATTTTGATAGGCGATCATAATTTAATGTGTATTCCGTTGAGTGGTCCGGAATCCCTTTGGTATCTTGGTTCCTTGGATTTGTTTTCAGGTTCAAAGATGTAGGCTTCGGCCGAACTATGTCACTCTAAACCTACTTGTCATGGTGTTATATGAGAATATGGGTGTGAGATGTTGTGATTGTTTCAGACGAACCGTTGGATGTCTGGGTGACTCCTTCGGAGTTTGCGAATGTTTGGTATTAATTTCTTATGAATGATTTATGTTCAAAGTTTATAAATTGTGATTGACGGTTGGTTTTATCACCATTATCACACACTTTGTATTTTTGTCACTCACCTGAGCTTCACAACTTATCCAAGTTTTGAATTGCCCAGTGCGCCATTTCCATGATGTAGGCACTGATTTTGCATATGACAGGTCTGAGTAGATTATAAGAAATCGCTTGATATTTTGGTTCCGTTGAGTGGTCCGGAATCCGATGTGGTTGGTTCCGTTGAGTGGTCCGGAACCCGATGTGGTTGGATTCCGTTGAGTGGTCCAGAATCCTTACTCTTGCACATTCCAAAAGGTTAGTCTAGAACCCTAGATTCGAGTGAATGAGAATTATCCATAGACCTTGTGAATATAAATTAGAATTACCATGTTATTACTCATAAACCAAGTATGAAATCGTATTGATTGATTAATGTAGTTAAATGCTAAGATCATGCATCCTTGATTCATGAATGGATTAATTGACGGGCTTGTGGAGTGACGTTGGATATGATGGTTATTATTATAATTATTTTAGTGGTCAATGTGGTTTGAAAATAATATTGTGCTTCGTTGGTTATAGGATAAGTTACAAGCTGTGGATGGAGGTATCATGTTGAAAACATAGGGATTTATATGATGGATAAAATGGAAACCTTGAATGTCATGTGGGTTTGTTATGCAACCCTAAGTCTAGTAATTTCATGCTTGTCAAGTACTATTGATTGATTGAGAAATGTTATGCCTTTCGGCTTAAACGGACTGTAATATATGTCAATTATAGTGGTTGGTGAACTACGAATGACTTGATTCCTATTAAGGGTACGTAGGCAGTCTAACAAGGAGGTTAGATGCAGTCATAAAGTATAAGGAAAAATTATCATGAAAATCGAATCTTGAGTTGTGCATTATCCATATTCCGGAGGCGAGGTATGTGAGTGATACGGGTATGGCATGTGCTTGATACATATCCCGAGGGACGGGCATGTTAGAGATGTGGTTATTTGATGACATCACGTGTCGATCACGAACGTATGTCGGGATCGGGGCGTGACACTGGCCCTTTAGATCCTTCGGTTGGAGATGACCTTAAGGGTGCAAAAGTGTCATCTGGCCTTCCGAGTTCTGAGGTTTCGTGTTGTTTCTAGAAGATAGCTAGCCTATGATGGTTGTGCGGGTTCGGATGTGGATACGCCGATATGGCGGACGTGAGTTTTGGTTTGTGGGCTAATCTTTGGGCTGACCTGGACCCAGAAGTCTAAATCTTATCGTTTATATCCCAATTTGTCTTCATGCAACCAAAGGCCCATCCAAAAGAAAAATGACACTACTTGGCTGCTGCAATTTCAGTAGCAACTTTTGCTTCTACCCAATTATAGATAGACACGTGTCCAATTTGCATTTAAAATTTTAATTATTTGGACACGCATTCATGTGTGGTAGAGTGGAAGCAGAAGTAGTTGCAGAATTTGCAGCAGCCAAGTGTTTGGATTAAAACTTGATTTTTGGCCCAAAGATGGAGTCGGCCCAAAAGGAGGCCTAGAGGAATAGAAGATCAAAGCCCAGCCGAGACCTGGGAAGGCAGGAAGGGGCCTTTTCTGACTTGATACAATTCACAAAGGCCATTTGCCTACCTACCTAAGGACCAAGTGGTGTAGACTGATCAGACTGCACAGCCCATAAAGTACTTTATGGTGGCATTACATGTAATAAAGCTGATGAGTC